AAAATGTTAGTTTTCAACTTCCTAGCCGTGTCTTGCTCATTGTTACAAATTAAGTGAATGGCATACTGTGTCTTTCATTAGTGAGATAAGCTTTTAATTCCATAAACTGGCCCCATGACACTTGAAATGAGCTGAATCTTCTTTGGGCAATCTCAATATTTTGACCATTGACCTCACGACCAACGCTATTCATAGAACACAACAAATGCTGTAAACATTTGACAGAGACACTAAAATATTCACATCTACACAGCAGACACTGTAAGAAGGCATGGCCATGCATACACGCCATGATTCTCATCACTTATTTAAAAAGCCTTTTTTACCATGAAAAAATAATCCAACTTTAACCAGACTTTAGGTTCAACGACGTTGCAAATATGTAAAGTGGATAAAGAAAAGTAAAGAGCTTAACCACTCTGTCGACAGCAAAAATGCAGAGGATATTTTCCATATAAATTACAGCCCAAGGAGCTGATGTTCTCTCTCTCGCCTTCCTAAATCAATCACCACTCAAGCTGTTGCTTTTACCCAAAGCCACAATCCATTTTCAAATAGGCAGTCAGCTTTGGCTGTTAGAGGAGACACACCAGGTGGTGAGAGACGGATAGGGAGACAGTGACAGAGAGAAGAGGGGAACGGGGAGATTAACAGCGAGAGAAAAGTGAAACAGTACAGGTGGGCTCACAAAGTTAATGTGAGAAACAAGTCAGAAGCGCTCGCTAAATGGATGCCACCTGGCCCTAACAGGGAAGTTAATTGTGTAAAGACAGGAAAAGATGGCAGGCGGGCCAGCAGCTGAACGCAGCCACAGACAGACAGAGTGCTGGCTGCTGCAGCAGGACGCATTGTAGGACAGAACTGAGAATTGTTTAGAGCCAGCAGGCAGCCACCATGTCAATATAGGCTTACAGAGACGAGAGACAGTTCGTATTGTTCACCTCGTGGAAAGGATAAGAGGGTTGGCTGGAAGAGAGAGAGAAAAATTGGGGAAACTGGATAAATAGAAGAGAGATCGGAGAGAGAGATGTGAGGGAAGAGTGATGGTCACTTTCAATTAGAAGATGCATCCATGTGTATGCACATGTATGGTGGGACAGGGTATATGAACTACAAAATAGTATTTCCCAAAAATAAATGAATGTGAATTGTTTCCAAATTTTGTATTAAAGCGCTACATTTTTTATTATGTAGGATATACAATGAGGGTTTTATCTTCCAGGAAGTTCAGAGCTGACATATATCAGCTTTCACATTCCACACAGTGTGAATTGGTCGTGTCGTCCTACGTGATTTCTGTAGGACTGGCCAGGACGGCCTTTAGAGACGGAAAGGATCAGGCTCTTTGCAGACGGCTTTGTTTTATTGGCTCCCTCAGTGCAAAGGCCTGTCTGTCACCACAAGTCACAAATCCTTTCAATTAACATCAAAAATGTTTACGCTTTATCAAAGCAGTTGAGGACAGATTAAAGACGGTGGTGACCATGCTACCAGAATGACTTCGATGTTTGCTGCTTCCTAGAGCCCAGACATGTGACGAGCAGAGGATCTTTGTCCACGAAGGCTCATTTCGCAGCACACTGGGGAGATTTGCAGACTCAAGGATTTGCTACATTTGATACTAAATGATGACATCCTGTGCTCTATAGGCTGACATATTTATCAGATGATTGAGTGAGAAATATGAGTGTGCATTGTGCAATATGATGTTGTATACATATGTTAATTTTGTTTGTTTATTATATTTAAGAAAGTCAATTTGTAACTCACTGATAGACATCAGCTGTTCAACACTGCTTTTAGCTCGATTCATTTATTATGTGTGGACTGGAGGAAACAAGTGGAAGAAATTGTAACACTAAAACGTAGTTGGCTGGGTGTATATGCTCACCTCTGGGCTGGTATCAAATGGTTATACGTATAACTACAGAGCCTTACGGAATGAATGTCAGCCATCACAGATGGTCACTCATAATATTTCAGTTTACTTTGGACTTATTATTTTTAGATTTACTAATATGCAATGTTAGTAAAACATTCCTTCTGATTTAACAAAAGAATTGCAATGCAGTTCACAAAATGTGTTGGCTATCAGCAGCTGCAGTTAATATAATGTAACAGTGCAGCTACAGTACAGAAGAGGTAACTTATTTACCCTCTCCATAGGGGTTGTTTGGGGTATGTCACATTTTCCTGAACAGGACTACGACTTTTGTGCTTTATTCTTTGTATTCACAAAATTCACTAAGATGTCGTTCATCTTTGCTCTCTTTTAGAGCAAAATTCTTGCAGAGCTCTGTTTGGTTGCATCAACCAACTCTGAGTACATGATGAAGCGTATATTTATTATAACTGGTCGGTTGATTGAGCAATTTGACACTGGATGAACCTTTTTCTCTCATGTACGAACACCTGATCACACTAAAACTGAAACTATTTGGCATTACTGCTGTATAAAAATGCGTTGTCCCTACAAGCTAAGCCCTGCTAGAATGCGGCCCTCGGAGGATGAGTAAAAGGTTATTGTTCCCGGATCCCGGGGCCTGGTGAGCTGCTGCTTCAGGCTGGGACACTGGAACAGAGCAGGTATGTGATAACCTGACCTCTGGCGCCCGAGGAAATGTTGGCATCTGGCCACAGTGGCCGCAGGGTGATCGAAGAGCGTCTGGATAGTCCTCCGTCTCCCTAGTAGCGGCCACATCACTATTCCCATCCACCCACTACACCTCCATCCACCCGAGCTTAAACAAGCTACCGAGAGCCGTAGCCATAGAAACGGGCAGGCCTTCAGAGATCATTTCTTGACAGAATTCCTCTGTGTCCTCTCTCAGTAAAAGGTCTGCCCCTCTGCTGAATGCCTGTTTATCTTTGCAGACATGTAAGCTCCGTGGACCCCCGGCTACCTTTTTGAATGCTAAAACTCACCTCTAAATTAATTGAAGAAAACTTGCTATATTCTGTGCGTCCTCCACAAAGCCACAGGAGAAAAACACAGAGGAGGACAGATTCCTCCGTTACTTATTCCATAAGAGTTTTGTATGCAACAATCATGATGGTGGTACATCATTTCCAGCTAATTGTCAGTGTCCCTATTTAAGCTTGGTATGTGCAAAAATATCCAATTACTTTTCTAATACAAAATAAGGGTCGGAGAATAACAGACACGGTGCACGCTATTCATAACAAGGATATAAATGGAATGTCTCCTTGATGAGGTCAGATTTTAGCCACTCTGCACTGGAGAAGAGGTGCTGAGGAGATACTGACATTTCTGATGACACACACACCTGATGAGCGGATAGTCTGGCACCTGCTTAAAAATCCAATGTAACCGGTGTCCTTCCAGCAACTGGAGAGGGAGACAGATAGTTGAAAGACAAAGACATTAGTGGGACAAAAAAAAAGAAAATAAATGCAGAGGGGTGTGCATGTGAGAACTAAGTCATCGTTTGTCAACGCTGTGACTCTTCGATGCAGGCAGATGATATTTTTGTCAGCTGAATGTGAATTCAGAATATTGTATTCAAATGTAATCTTTTTGAATGATTAGCATAATTGAAATTCAAAACAAAGGTAATGCAATCACATTTTTTTCCTGGATAGAGCTCAATATGAAGCTTATTTGGGATGCATCAAACCTCATCTGATACCATGATACAAGGTAGAGATCAGTAATGCATCGCTGAAATTGCAAATGAGCCAAGCTCCCCCAGAAGCCACTGTTATCAGAAACAGCAAGTGACAAGAATATGAATCTGAACTATTGACTAATGTGACTCAGGCTCCTGTTACTGGCCATTTGTTCTCTGCCTGTGGCACTCTGGAATATATTTGCTCTCTTCAGTGTATTCCTGCATAATAATCAACAATACTGTTGGACTCTTTGAATGTGTGTGTGTAGAAAGCCCATCTGCACCATTAACTTCATAATCGTTGTCTCGTCCTTAGTTGGCGATGATCAGAGTCCCAGATCACAAATCTGAGCACAAATCTCTGGCTCCCTTTCTATCACACAATCATTTCCATCAATTCTTCTGCAACAAACCAAAACCCACGTGTCACCTATACACGCGCACACAGTCTTTTAGTAATCTTGCTCTCACTGCCTCCCACTCAGGCATCTGTAAAAGAGCATGTGTGGTTCACAGCAGAAGCTCAGTCCACACTGGGAGAGGTTGGAGTGGTTTCAGAGATCTCAACATTTGAAATACTCTGTCTGAGTGTTGTAGAGCCTTGATAATTGCAGCTTCGCACAAAGGCAGGCTTCAAATGTCAGATGCTTTTAGCAAAAACATCACCTACATTTTTAATTCCTTCTTGTGCATATTCACTGCAGGGCAGGAGCTTGTGAAGAGCTCGTCCTGTTGATATTGGACCATGTAAAAGATTGTGATGTTTGAGCGTTCCAAAATATTGTCCGCAAAGCTGTAGTGACAGCACGAAAAATATTAGGGCTGTCAATAGATTCCAAAAAATAACTAATTAATCGCACATTAATGGTGATTAACGAATTTTGTTGTTACAATGTCGTTTATAATGAATGTTTGTTTTTATTCTACAGACTAAATCTTAAAAGCAATGAGTAATCACTGACAAAATTACACACATGTGATCATCTTGGAGACAGAATTCCACCGGGTGGAACATGTTGAACTTGCGACTCTTCCTGCTGTCCTTGTGCACTTTGCTCTCAACTCTCCATCATTTAACGTCTGTGTTTGGAGTGCAAACAATCTCCCCACATTTAGCCAGAACATTTTCAAACCACTTTTAGGGACACACTGGTGGTCCTGCATGTCGCACTAATGTTTGTTTTACTTCCAATGCAAAAAGCTCTCTTCGGTTCCGGAAGTAAACAAACGAACGTTAACTATGTTAAAATATTTTGTTGCATTAGTCTAGGCCACTGTAATCGGATAGATTAATGCATTAATGTTGACAGCCCTAAAAAATATATCTAACAGTGTAACAGAGATTTTCTCCTCCCGTTTATTGTGCAGGTGAATGATTGCGAAGCAGATAGCAGCCTTTGCAGTGCGACCCTGTCCCATGCTGCTCCCTCCTCTCAGGGGATGGCAACGGTCCAGGATGGACACACGAACGCATGTGACAGGTACGCTGTGATAGACATGACATTGACCCTTTTTCTCTACTAATACAATTTTCACAAAAATGTCTTGTAGGTCCTGCAGGACATTTTTGTGAAAAAGTGTAGGATACATACAGTTCGAACTTTGATCTTCTTATATTCCTCATATTAAAAAGGGCTGTGTCAATACATTTTCTCATTATTTATAAATGTGTGTGTTTGTGTACTCTTTAGCTCTGCAATGTTAGAGGAGAGCCAGGATGGTATGGACAGCGGTACCCTAAGTCCTGCCTCAGCACGACAGGTCACCATCCAGCGCCACCCGACTGAAGGCTTCGGCTTCATTGCAGGCAGTCAGAGGCCTGTCATTGTACGCTCCGTCTCTGCTGGTTAGTGTGTGTGTGTGTGTGTGTGTTGTGATGAGTACTTCAATTGAAAAATTCATTTTTACTGATTGTTTATGACGTTGCATGCTGGCTGTGTGTCTATAATTATCTGCAGACGGCCCCTCTTTTGGCAAGCTTCTTCCTGGAGACCAGATCTTGGCCATTAACGAGGAGACGGTGAGCGACGCGCCACGAGAGAGAGTCATAGACCTTGTAAGGTAACATCCTTTACTGTCCCAGGAGGGAGGGGGCCAGCATAACTGGGCACGTTTAAGTAAAGTGGACATGGGTGAAGAGGCTGAATCAAAAGGAGCAAACTGTTTCTCATATACACATCACAAACATGTGGATGAGACGGTCCTGAAGCTGAAGGACAGCGTTGATATGAAAGTGATAAAGCGGAGAAGCTCTTCAAATTCCCGGCTGTCTGTGGCGTTATCTAATACCACTCCACTCTCTTTTGTCTCTCCATAGACGCTGCAAAGACACAATAGTTCTCACTGTGCTGCAGCCCCATCAGGTAATGCAAAACTCACTATTTCATCTGGCTCTGCCGTAGGAATACTCTTAGTCTCCATCTGTTTTAACACTCTTCCTGTCCCTATAAATCATAAAGAAACATTGTACCGTATTCTGTTCCACAGTGCACACTAATGCAGTGTAAAAATACATAGTCTACAAGGCCATGCTTTCAAATAGAGTTACTTCTTTTCTGTAAACACCTACAAAAACCACTTAATGCAGGCACATATCCATCCATATATAGCAAACAGAAATATAGCACTTTAGCACATTTAGCCATTTAGCACATTTACCCTGCTAATTTTTAGAAGATAACATACTGATGATTTTATTTTTCATTGGATCTTAGAGTAACAGTCCTACAGGAACTGGCAAATGTGTTGGCTATTTATTGCAAGGGATCTTTATATTGGAAGAAGGTTTCCAGGTGTCGCATTAAAGCAGCATTAGCCAGCTCGCCATCACACATCTATTCAGTCACAGAGGCTTTTCTTTCATTTGCGTGTTTCTCTCTCTTTCTCTCTCTCTCTTCTTATCCTCAGTCACCCAAGTCTGCCTTCATAAGTGCAGCCAAAAAGGCCCGCCTGCGAACCAACCCGCCTAAAGTGCGCTTTTCAGAGCAAGTGTCCATCAGCGACCCAGACTCAGTAAGTTCAGCTAATGTCTCTCTGTGACATGAACAGGCTGTTACCCCGTACTCCTCCATCTCCAGCTGCATTTATTTTGTTTGATTAGCAATCACAAAGGCCTCAAGTATTTGTCCTCTAATTTCAGGCCCAGATTTTATAATATGTGTGGGAGCCTTTATTCCATCTGTTCGGCCAGAATGAATTGCTTTTCTAGCTGTATTAAATTTTTACAGGTGTAACGTCAATATCTTTTCAAAGGCACTCCAAATAAATATAAAAACGCCTGGGATTGTTGGTACGCAAATGTACTGGTTGCACATTGCAGTGTTTATATTTCAATTTCTTACTTGACTTATTGAAATCTATAGACAAGTCACATATCTCTCTTATGTGTCACGACCGGACGGTGGACGGGAACCCAAATGCACGACTCACACAACGTGGTGCGAAAAAAGAATCAAAGTTTATTAACAAAAGGACAGGGCATGGCCGCTGAAATAAAAATCACTCGTGGGCGAGGAAAAAACCGATCTAGAGACAAAAACTGAAAGCAGGCTCAATTAAGGTGTCGACAAAAAACGAGGCAAGACTGTGGACATACGTAGCGCTGGCACGGTGGCTTGGGACAAGACGAACTGGCACAGGACAGAGGGAGACTCAGACAATATATACACACACATAGGGGAAGTGCACAGGTGGAGACAATCAGGGGAGGGGCGGCAATCACACCGACACAAGAGGAAGGGGAAAGTTGCCTGAAACAAGGGGAAGGTTCATTTTCCAAAATAAAACAGGAACTCACGAGACGGACACGAGACAACCTAACTAACATCTTTTTCTGGACATGACAGTACCCCCCCCTTTAGGGACGGCTCCTGACGGACTTTTGCGGTTGTTGAAGTCCCTGATGAGTGCCGGGTCCATGATAAAGCTGGACCGGACCCAGGAACGGTGCTCCGGACCATAGCCCTTCCAGTCCACCAAGTATTGGTGTCCCCTTCCGCGTTTGCGTACGCCCAAGAGTCGCTTCACTGGGTAGACCGGTCCCCCATCAACCATCCGGGGAAGTGGCGGAGTTGCGGCTCCGGGCACCATAGGACTCTCTCTAACTGGTTTCAGCTTCCCCACGTGAAAAGTAGGGTGCACCCTCAGGGATCTGGGAAGGCGCAGACGAACAGAGACAGGGTTAATTACTTTTGACACGGGAAACGGACCCACAAACCTAGGAGCTAGCTTCCGGGAGGCAACATGGAGTGGCAAGTCCCGTGTGGAGAGCCAGACTTTCTGGCCCGGCTGGTATGTCGGAGCTGGCTGGCGCCTCCGATCAGCGACCTTCTTCATGCGCGCCGCGCTGCGAAGGAGGATGCTGCGGGCAGCTGCCCAGATTCGGCGGCAACGCCGGACCATGGCATGGGCGGAAGGGACGACGACCTCCTTCTCAGTATCTAGAAACAGAGGCGGTTGGTAGCCGAAGGCGCACTGGAAGGGGGTCAGCCCCGTGGCTGCTGTGGGGAGCGTGTTAAGGCGCTCAGCCTGTCCATTGGCCTCTGGGTGGTATCCGGACGTGAGACTGACCGTGGCCCCGATCAGTTTGCAGAATTCAGTCCAAAAACGGGATACGAATTGGGGCCCCCGGTCTGACACCACGTCCCTCGGGAACCCATGAATGCGAAAAACGTGGTTGAGCATGGTTTCGGCAGTCTCCTTGGCTGACGGAAGTTTAGGTAGGGCTATGAAATGAACCATCTTTGAGAATCGATCCACCACTGTGAGGACAGTGGTGTTACCTTGAGAGAGCGGGAGACCAGTGACGAAGTCCAGCGAAATCTCAGCCCAGGGTCGACTGGGCACCGGGAGTGGTTGCAGCAGCCCTGTGCGTGCCTGGGAGGAGATCTTGTTCCTAGCACAGACGGGGCACGCACCAACATACTCCCGGACCTCGCGTTCCATGGCGGGCCACCAGAACCTTTGTCTGATGGCATATATGGTTCTCCTGATCCCTGGATGGCAGGTGAGCTTTGAGGTGTGAGCCCAATGAATCACCTGTGGGCGCATAGTTGCCGGAACAAACAGGCGATTAACTGGACAACCACTAGGTGTAGGGTTCTCACCATTAGCCCGCTTCACCTCTGATTCTATCTGCCATGTTACCGCTCCTACCACACGGTGCGGTGGCAGCATTGGTTCTGGTTTCTTGGCAGTGGGCTCGGGGTTGAACAGACGAGACAGGGCGTCCGGCTTGGTGTTCTGGGACCCCGGCCTGTAGGATAAAACAAAGTTAAAGCGGTTAAAGAACAGAGTCCATCTGGCTTGGCGAGAGTTCAAACGCTTAGCCTTGCGGATGTACTCAAGATTTTTATGGTCAGTCCAGACAATAAACGGGTGTTGGGCCCCCTCCAGCCAATGTCTCCACTCCTCTAATGCCAGCTTTACCGCGAGCAACTCACGATTACCAACATCGTAATTCCGCTCCGCCGGTGAAAGTTTTCTGGACAGGAAGGCGCATGGATGTAGTTTGTGGTCTTCTGTCGATCGTTGAGATAGGACCGCCCCCACACCGTCGTTGGAGGCATCCACCTCCACCACAAACTGTCGGCTGGGATCTGGAACCGTGAGGATGGGGGCCGTGGTGAACATCTCCTTGAGTCGGGTGAAAGCCACCTCTGCTTGGGGAGACCATAGAAACGGGGCTTGGGGAGAGGTGAGAACATGGAGGGGAGATGCTATGGCGCTGAAGTTTCTGATAAACCGTCTGTAAAAGTTCGCAAAACCCAGGAATTGCTGAACCTTCTTACGGTTATCAGGTGTAGGCCACTGGGCCACAGCGCTGACTTTAGCCGGATCCATTTGTATCTTTCCAGGGGCTATGACAAAGCCCAGGAAGGACACAACGTTGGCATGGAATTCACTCTTTTCTGCTTTGACATAAAGATGGTTCTCCAGCAGACGCTGGAGAACCTGCCGAACATGGCGAACATGAGTGTCTCGGTCAGGGGAGAAAATCAAAATGTCATCTAAGTAGACAAATACAAACTGATTAAGGAACTCCCTAAGAACATCGTTTATCAACGCCTGAAATACGGCCGGGGCATTGGTCAGGCCAAATGGCATCACGAGGTATTCGTAATGGCCCGAGGGGGTGTTAAAGCCGGTCTTCCACTCATCGCCCTCTCTAATACGGACGAGATGATAAGCATTGCGCAAGTCTAGTTTGGTGAAGATTCTGGCTTGTTGCAACTGTTCAAAGGCCGATGACATGAGGGGCAGGGGGTATCGATTCTTGATAGTAATGTCATTTAATGGTCCATAGTCAATGCAGGGTCTCAGGGAACCATCCTTCTTCCCCACAAAAAAGAATCCTGCTCCTGCTGGAGACGAAGAGGGACGTATGAGTCCTGCTTTTAATGAAGCCTCGATGTATTCAGTCATGGCTACTTTCTCAGGGCCGGAGATGGAATAAAGTCTCCCCTTCGGAATGGGCGCACCCGGGATAAGGTCAATGGGACAGTCATAAGGACGATGGGGTGGTAGGGAAGTGGCCTTACTCTTGCTGAACACCTCCTCAAGATCGTGATAACAACTGGGAACGGAGGTCACATCACGCAAGTTGTGTGTGTGGGTCGGAGCTGAAGCCGATACAAGGTCCCCAATGACTCCAATCTCCACTTCTTGGCCAGGAACCCTGTCTAGCCCCCCCCGCTTCCCTCCCCAGCTTATGATCCTCCCAGAGCACCAGTCAATGTGGGGGTTGTGTTTTTTGAGCCAGGGGAACCCCAAAATCAGGGGGTGTTGGGCCGAGTGGAACAGATGAAACGTCACTAGTTCGTGGTGGTCCCCGATGCGTATAGCCACAGGTTCAGTCACATGTGTTACATTAAAAATAAAGCTGCCATCCAAGGCGCTGGCTTTCAACGGCTGGTTCAAGGGAGCTGACCTAACTCCCATTTGGTTGGCAAAACCCCAGTCCATGAGGCTTTCATCAGCCCCAGAGTCAACCAGTACTCCCATTGAAACTGTGGTGTCATGGTGGCTTACCTGGATCTTCATCAGGGAGCGGGAGGAACTGCCCGATGAGGCGAAGCGGTTCGACAGGGGACTCTTCTTCCCCTGGTGGGTTGTCCTCCTCGCCGGACACCCTACCACTAGATGTCCTTGTTCCCCGCAGTAGAAACACCTGCCTTCCTGCAGGCGGCGTCGTCGTTCTTCAGCGGACAAACGAGCCTGTCCCAGCTGCATGGGCTCCTCTGGATCACGCGAAGAGACAGCTCTCCACTGGACCGGCGACGGTAGGGGGGAAACGACCCTTGAGTTTGTTGAAGGGAGACCTCGGTCCTGCATTCGTGTCTTCAAACGATGGTCTGTCCTAACAGCCAATGCGATGACTGCGTCGAGGTCCTCAGGCAAATCAAGGGGAACTAACAGGTCTTGGATGGGATCCGAGAGTCCTGAGATGAATGCATCATACAATGCCGTGGCATTCCATCCGCTATCTGCTGCTAGTGTGCGGAAGCGGATGGCATAGTCTGAGACAGAGTCCATACCTTGGCGGATAGTGTTCAGCTCCCGGGCTGTCTCTCTGCCGGATGTCGTGGGGTCAAACACCTTCCTCAATGTCTCGGTGAACCGAGCGAGTGATTGGCAGCTTGGTGAAGCTCTGGACCATTCCGTGGTTGCCCATACTTTCGCTCTCCCCGTGAGATGGGAAATCATAAATGCCACCTTGGACCTTTCTGTGGGGAAGGCTGAGGGCAATTGTTCATAGTGCATTTCACAGTTAACTATGAAGGACTTGCATTCCCTAGACTCACCGGAGAACTTCTCGGGTGGGGCAAGGCGAATTGCCTGACTGTGGGGAGCTGGAGCTGGTGGTGCGTCGGCAGCCGCCAGCACGGGCGAGGCTGATGGTGCTTGGTTCAGATGGGTGAGCATCTGATGAATCTGGTTAGATAGGAGATTCACCTGGGTCGTCATGGCGGCCTTGAAGTCCTCCTGCCCGCTTGCCAGCCCTTCCACTCCATGTTGCAGGGCGGACAATTGATCCTCCTGCTGCTTAAGGCGGTTACCTTGAGCGCCAATGGCTGCCTTTAGGTTATCCGAGTCTGCTGGGTTCATGCTGGCCAGTTCGTTCTGTCACGACCGGACGGTGGACGGGAACCCAAATGCACGACTCACACAACGTGGTGCGAAAAAAGAATCAAAGTTTATTAACAAAAGGACAGGGCATGGCCGCTGAAATAAAAATCACTCGTGGGCGAGGAAAAAACCGATCTAGAGACAAAAACTGAAAGCAGGCTCAATTAAGGTGTCGACAAAAAACGAGGCAAGACTGTGGACATACGTAGCGCTGGCACGGTGGCTTGGGACAAGACGAACTGGCACAGGACAGAGGGAGACTCAGACAATATATACACACACATAGGGGAAGTGCACAGGTGGAGACAATCAGGGGAGGGGCGGCAATCACACCGACACAAGAGGAAGGGGAAAGTTGCCTGAAACAAGGGGAAGGTTCATTTTCCAAAATAAAACAGGAACTCACGAGACGGACACGAGACAACCTAACTAACATCTTTTTCTGGACATGACATTATGTGCCTGGGGTTCAACTTCTTCATATTGTTCAACCAATACCTGCTTTATGACGTGTGTTTGAGAATAAAAGACTGTACAAAAATCAAGGCTTGGGAGGTCAGAGGAATGAAAAGCTATAGTCATTTTAATTTTTGCAAAACAGATGCTCTTTTTTTTTCTTGGGGAGTAGGTTACAATGTAAATACAGTGGGAGCATGAAGATGACAAGAAATGGACAATCAAGTAGGAATCAGAAGGAGGGCTAGGGGTTTTCCATCAGTCCATTTTCTATTTACCTGAACTAAATTGAGAGAGAGAGAGAACATGATTGCTCATCACATTCATAACCTTTGGGTCAACTGATCGTAGCTCAAGGAAACACAGGGCAGTGTTGATGCAGAGGAGGGAACTGTTATGACTGGCAACGATCAGCCATCACTCCCCAATGCCTGGGTTTCTAATCAGGAGGTGCTATTATACCTGATCAGAGTTGGCCACCTAGCTTAGTGTTTAGTGACACCAAGGAAATAAGGTTGTGGCATTGAGCTGTGATCCCCCCCCTTCACTAATAAGAATAAAGATAGTGGCCTGTACTGGGAAGTGATAGAGCTTTTTGTGGAGAGTGATAGACCACTGGTTGCCCCTCGCTTTAATTCTGCAGCCTGGGGAAAGAGCTGTTTACTTGTAACTCTTTCGTTTGGCTTTGGTTGCTTCCAATGTGCAGAGAACAACAGCTTGTTGAGCCCTCTGCGTACTTGAGTTCTCCTAAAACAGACTGCGGGGCATCTGTTGTGGACACAGCTCTCCATTTCAACTAAATGCTGGGATATATTGTTGCAGCATATACAAATCCTTTTAGTTTCATGAGTAATGTCTGCTTTTTTTAAAAATGCCACCATCAGATAGGGGCGGTGCAGTGGCACAGTGGTGAGGTGGTTAGGAGTGTTGCCTAGCAACAATAAGCTCTTGGGTCTCCCCGTGTTTGCGTGGGTTCATGACTTTGGACATGATGAACCTGTATCTGTGTTGATTGACCTGCATGACTAAAGGTGTGCTTTAGCTCATGCTCAGAAATGACCCTTATCTAAGCCCCTTCCTTGGCTGCTACTTTTATCACGTCGCCAGATCTACCATGGAGTCCACACTGCACTTCATAAAAAAAAGATCACATTTTCTAAAAGGTAATTCACCAAGAAGCAGAAGTTCCTCTCGATTGCATCATTATTATGCAACCTTAAAGTCAAACAAAACCCCTTAGATCTATCTTATCACATGTAGATACATCCCTTCATCTCTGATCATAACTGTGGTTTTGTGGAACTACTCAATGGGAACTGAGTCCCTTTACTAAAAAGCCCTTAGCAAGATCGAAAACAGGAGCGAGTGCCCGTCACATCTCAACCGAGCAATAATGAACTGAACTGCATATCTGAACTTTTCTTCTAACAAATGCTTGGAGTAACCTTGAATTGGGCTGCTCCTCTTTCCCCTCCTCACGAAACGAATGCCTTCAGTCCCACCCTCTATTTTACTTTGCATTGCATGCATATTGAACGGGTAGACCGGAAACACTTAATACACTGTTCTTTTGATCCTGATGCAATGCATGCGGTGGAATTCGAAAGGCAGAGTGTCGGACCTTCTAGAACCAATACACCATTCATAGAAGGCATGTTTGTTTCTTAACATCTCTTCCTTTTTCACCTCCTCATTATTCTCCCTCAATCTCGTTCAGACGATGCTCAAGGACGACTCCCTGCTACTCATACCAAATGTGTTGAAGGTGTTCTTGGAGAATGGACAGATTAAGTCCTTCACGTTTGATAGCCGCACCACTGTCAGGGTATGTATTCAAGGCCGCTGTGGGAAAAGCTACTGAATTTCAACAATAGCATTATTGTGTCTTTCACATAGAGCATCTCTAATCCATTTTGATATTAGCAATGGTCTAAATAAGGTTTAATGTGTAATGCCGTCCTTCGTAGTAACCTGTATCATACTACTACGTATCATAATAATGCTGTGGATGATTGTAGTTAAAAATGTCTTACACTAGTAAGACACCGGCCTTTTCCTCAAAAAAAGACTACATTACATTACATTAAGTCATTTAGCTGATGCTTTTATTCAAAGCGACTTACAATAAGTGCATTCAACCATAGGGATACAAACTCAGCAGAACCAGAAACAAGAAATACAGTCATTGCACCAAATGGCAGAGAGGGAAAGATAGCAACTGGCTGGCAAACATAGCGGGATATTTAACAGCTAAAGAGCTACATCTTTCAAGGGCTGGTAAGGACCGGAACAGAACTACCTGGGGAGTGACTTCAGATGAAGGATAGTGTAATCAAAAAATGTCACAGCCTAATGAGGCGATAATATGTGGTGGTTATGTTTACAGCTTGATGCCCAAGTTGACCATGACAAATCGTGCTCACAGTAGGTTTAACATTTGGCCGATTATAATTTTACACACGACATTGGCATACCATTGTTCTCAGTTGATGGCTTTTCGGGGATAAAGGATGAAATTTCAATGGATTTCATTGGAGTTTCTTGTGGATTCATTATCAATGCAATTTAGGAACATCAAAATGAATCATAACTCAAGTCAAGCATCCTAATTTTGAAGTTTATATATAATAAGTAATTGTTTTTAAAAACTAAAACTAAAGAAAACTTTTAGCTTTCCCCCATAGCTGTTTTGGGGAATTAATAATCTCAGTGATGTGATTAGAGCCATGAATAAACAAATTAATAAAAGCAGACGGAGGTTGTTTGTTTCTTTGTGTCAGCCTCTAAGATGAGTCTGACATCACTGAGCAGACAAATTTAACAGACTATTAGATTTCACAAATCTCTCCTCTGCTCATAGAAAGGAACCAGGGGAGAAAAGGAGAAACACTGCAGCACTTAGAAGGGGAGACGGGGAAGCTACTCTTGTCAGCCTAATTAAATGGAATCTTTGCATAATAGGAAGATCCAGATCAATAAAACTATGCCACAGATTAAATAAATGGCAGATTAGAACGCACCGGTGAATGCCCATTAGACTGTCAACTAAAGAGCCTTTCCTGCAATGTTTTAGGCTACAACCTACAGCATTATACAATCATGGAGTTTAACGTCAAACATTAAATGCCATTTATTATTAAATGTACTGAAATGTACTGAACAAGTCCAAACTTTTGACTGGTACTGAATTTCAATCTTTTAACGTCTTCCATGTCTCTTCTTTCAGGATGTGATCTCCTCCCTGCAGGACCGCCTCTCACTGCGCTACATTGAGCACTTTACCTTGGTGTTGGAGGCAGGTGGTCTGGATCAGAACCAGAGGTTGCATCTGCTGCAGGACAACCAGCCACTGACACATGTAAGAAACCCAAAACAGGAAAATGTGTGCAAGCTTGGGAGTTAAAAACGGTTTCAATGGGTTAATATATTTGCTAGATAAATGGTATGAAAACATTAACAGCAACCCCAATCAATTATGAAATGTTCATGAAACAGGGATTTTGTATGACATAGCACTACAGCCTTTCTATGTGGTCAGTTACTTCATTTAAATTTATTTTGTACATCATACTAAAAAAATTAGCCTCCCAAAAAGAAAATCCTCAGTTAAGGCTGTAAGTCCATTATTAAACACATCTGCAGGCAAATATGGACTCATGGTCATAGCGACACCTACTGGCAACAGGCTCTTACTTTCCCGACCTTCTCTATGCATATTTATAAAATCATTTTCATATTTGAGTGGAGAAGCCAGAGGAAATGGGAGGATTTAAAGGGAAGATTTTTGTTAAACTGAGCTCCAGTGGCCGTTGTTTTTCAAATTCCTATGTTTTACTGCCGCAAAGACACGGACAGGCACATTTTAAATCCACGTCACCGCACCACCTACTGGTAATACAGTGGAAGACACTTATGCAAATTTATGGGTAAAAAATAAATGAAATTGAAACACTTAAGGACTGCTGCTATGTATATGTGTGTACGCAGCTTTTTGGCTCAACTAAATATTACCTGATATATTGAGATGTTGGCTCAACCATTACATTATAGGTCATTTAGCAGACACTTTTATCCAAAGCAACTTACATTACACTTTAAACCCATGGCTTTTTCACATTTTTGCCTGGGGAGCAATTAGGGGTTAGGTGTCTTGCTCAGGGACACTTTAACATGGAACATGGGGCAGCCTGGAATTGAACCACCAACCTTGTGCTTCCCAGCACACCTTCTCTAAACCCTGCGCCACGACGACCCCAACAAAATGACAACCACGACGACAACCAAATTTTGGATGGTGATCATTTCTGGGACTTTGGCTTGTTGACCCTCTCCGAAATGTCTCCAGATCTTGAGATCTCACGAGATGTTTGTTGTTTGTTTTGTGGTGGGACATTTATCTGTAAAGTATAATTATTCTATATGCATGACCTATATTGGTACCAGCATAAGAGCCCCTCGTTGAGAGACAGTCTCTTGCAATGATTTGTTTATTAAGCAATCACTTAATTAAATAATTAATGTCTCACTCAATGCAAGCAAGGGGGGAAAACCTAGGTATGCTAAGAAAAACTCCTTCCCCTTTTGTTCAATCGCTATTACATTTGCTCTGATTCTCTTACCCCTAAATGATATATCGTCGATATAAGTGGTTTGATTGTGCGTGTGACAAAACACATCAAATATCTGACTGTATAATTTGACACAGCTCTCCGTATTCTGTCAAAAGTGATGTAAGTATGTAAAGTAGGGTGTGCAGTAGTACTTCTCACCTAGAGAAAATGATCTCTTGTGATGTAGCAGGTTAACCAGATCTATCACAAATGTGGTCTAAAAGCCTTAAGACTTTAAGAAGCTTCAGAGTTAAGATAGTTAAAGTCAGTAAGGATCAGGATCAGTTCATACGGATATTTCCTTGTAATGGCGGCCATTTTGCACCATTTTGGACCAAGAAGCAGGAAGTTGTTATCTCGTGAAGGTACATTGTCCAATCCGCCTCTCGTTTCTCAGTATATAATATAGGCTATAAAGGCTCAACCATAGCGCCACTTACTGGGAACAGGAAGTCACTGTAAATCGACCTGGTCAACTACCAGATATTTTGCTTGGTAAAGACCAATTACAAACTTATACTTAAGCTAATAATATAATATTGTATTTCCTCAGGTGGTGCACAGAACGTATTTCCAAGGGATGAAGTGTCTGTTCCGCATCTGCTTCTTCCCCAAGGACCCGGCAGACCTGCTAAGAAGGGACCCTGCTGCTTTTGAGTACCTCTATATACAGGTAAGGCACTGGATTAAAGCAGTTTACAAGGATGTCATTCAATGGTATGACATTGTTGGAGAGTGCCTGCTCGAAGAGCCAAGGCTTTACCTTCTTTTAATGATTTCATACTCTGAAAGATTGCTCATGCCGGGCAGAATTAACCTGTTTTAGGTTCTCCAAAAACACTTTCCGGTTATCTTTGCACATAGCCAATAGTCTTATAAAGTTGGACGCTGACCCTGGCAATTAAACTACTGCTACGTCATACAGAATGATTCCATTTAACATTGTCGTTTGCAGTCATCAACAACATTTAAATGTCCTAACAGAGTCGCAATGACGTCATCAAGGAACGCTTTGCAATGGACTGGAAATCTGACATCACTTTACGACTGGCTGCGCTCCATATCTACATCACTGTGTCCTCTGCACGGCCCAATCAGAAGATCTCTCTGAAGCACGTCGAGTAAGTCCACAAACTAAATTAGCCTTCAAATGAACTTATTAGAATGTATTGCATTTTACCTCGTTAATAACTCTGTGTATCATATCAGTGTGTCCCGCGGTGAAGTTGGTTCATTCTATAATGTCTAAATGAGTCATTATTAATCCTGATAGTATTAAAAAACTCAAATTACGCCAGGATCATTTTCTCTCGGCCGCTAAGAGACAAAGAACATTGCTTTGTGAAATTACATCTCCGTCAATTTGCTCATCTATTCTCCGAAAACTCAACATTAATTAGCTTCATATCATCACAACCACAGAAGCAGAACAGATCCACTGTAATAGACTTCAGGGTGGCCATGTCAAGCTAGTAGTTAAAGGCTATGTATGCTTTGCTCACTGTGTTTTCCCGTGGGACAGAAAAACCCTTTGTGTCCTCTGGCAATCTTCCCTCGACTCTGATTAACCACTACAATGTGGTTTTTCTCTTTTGTGTATACTCCTCCATCTTTCTCTTTGCTCATGATCACAGAAAAGAATGGGGGTTAGAGCCCTTTCTTCCCCCCACTTTGCTTCCAACTGTCAAGGAGAAGAATGTGTGCAAGAGCCTCTCTCAGTTGCTGAAGACATATCAGCATCCACCACCGTCGGGCAACAAGGTGCATCCATCTAAAACATATCTAGGCAATTCCTTGTGGATTTCCTTTTCTTACTTTGTGTATACTGGAATTAAACTAGATTTCAAACCACTGCAAATACAGACATATTGCCATATTGCCATAATCTAGATTACTATTATAATTTAAATCACATTAATGTTATTGCATGGCTACGTTTGCTTCATAAGTAGTTCTTTGTATTAGGAAGTCCGTCGTCTCTGTGGATGTAACTACTGCGTAAGACTCCTGATCCATATGTGGCTCAACAGTGCCCTCAGGAGGAAGTAGGATGTGCACGTGGAGGCTTCCTTTCTCAAAGATGCTTTTTGTTCATCATTCTGCCGACAGGTCCCTCCTCTCCAAGGAAAGCTGCAGTACATGCGTGTACTCAACGACCTCCCACCTTTTGGTGGCATACTGTTTCACACTGTTGGACTGGTAATACATGTTTGAATCTTTGTGTACAGGAATGCAAATGCATCACTTTGGGTTAATTAGTTGCTCTAATTAATTTCCTTGTGTCTTTGAAGCCATGCATGTTGTTGCAAAAGGAGCATGCTTTTTGAAGAAAATATCCTGCAGTCTTTCATTGTACCATTTTAAAAATGGATGAATCATTTAAAACCTTTTGTGTTCTTCAACAGGACGAGAAACAATCAGCTACAACACTACTTGTGGGTCCTCGGCATGGTATAAGTCATGTTATTGACCTGAAAAACAACCTCACGACTGTTCTGGCTGAGTTCAGTCGGGTGGTCAAGATCCAGCTCTACCGTGAGAGCCAGGGAGTGGCTCGTGTGGAGGTGACAATCCATGAAGCCAAGGTATTAAAAGCACTGAAGATCCACACTATAAGTAGATATGACAAGACATAAGTTTGTAGTAGGGAAAGTATGGATTTTGCAAGTCCAAAATTGTTTAACATCTATATACATTTTATTCACGTCATTACAAAATGAGCAGGCAATACTCATTGCCTGTCCCCTAAAAAGTCTCCTAATTCCCCTCCCTCCCACCCCTTGCAGCCCCTGGTCCTACTCATGGAATGGCCTGAAGCCAGTAACTTTGCATGCCTCATCTCTGGCTATTACAAGCTGTTTGTAGACCCCAAACGGACCATCTACTTCCGGACCCCTGGTCAGTCTCAGCTGACCAAAGCAGGTATGTTAGAAGACTTTTTGACTTGTAGTGACTTTGAAAACATGTTCTGGATAAGCATATACCTCAAGAAAACATTATTGTTCATGATGAAACATTTGTGTTGCCCATTGACAAATGTATATGTGTCTTTCTTTCAGCATCATATTAGAAACTGCATGTCTGGCATTATTTAATTATCTTCATTTATGAACAATCTACATGGACATTGACCTGCTTCTTCATTGGCTGAAATCATTGCCTGTAGTAACCAAGTTATCCTGGAACTACCATCACATGGCGCCCTCTGCTGTCTCTCCTCTCATCTCAATCTTGACTCGTTGGAATAGGATACTGTATATTTCTTTTGCCAAGAGAGATGGAATTGTACAGGTTATTTGTTTTATCTACGTATATAATATATATATATATATTATATTATATTATATACTCATCATACATGGAAAGATCTTCTGAAGTCCACATACAAAAAGGATCATCATACCATCACATTCCACCAGAATCTAACCCGCCAACTTCAAACAAACTTCTATCTTCTTCTAAACTTCTAAACTATCAACATCCATCTCTGAAATAACAAATAATCCACATGTGACCGCCAGCTGTCACCTCTGCTTTCCCATCTGGATCTTCTCTACTCTCCTAGTTGTTACCGCCTCAAACTTTCCACTGCTGTGACAATTCTATCCTCAGATTACAGAAGCTCCCACCATGCTCACCCACGTTCTGCGGCAACCAGCTTGCCAAGTGGAGGGCGGCGAGGGGACGAGAGGGAAAGCTCACACAGGGAGTCAGGTTCTTCAAGGGCCCTAGTACCGGCAGAGTCTCAACATCTGGGCCTGTGTCATGTCCACCTCCGGGAACAACAACAATTTCAAGAGCTCCAAACACACGGTGAAGCTGAACTCGACATCAATGAAAATTGTATTTCCCATGAGCCCCCTGGGCGGCCCCGCACTAAGTCAGACCCGATCCAGCAGAGTACAGAGGAAATAGCTGGAGTTTTAGAGATCCCACCAGTGGAGAATGCAGGATTCAGAATCCGAGCCCAAACACTTTGTCAATCCCAGAAAGCCTCACAATACTTTTGTGACTCCTGCAAAGCCAGGCACAGGGCAGAGGGTCAGTCAACAGCTTTGAACAGTAGTGGGAGCTCGGGGAAACACTGCTCCAGTGCTTGTGCCTCCCGAGATGGAGGCGCTGTTGACCTCATGGCTCTGCCGCCCCCAGGGAATGAAGAGGAGGACGAGGCAGATGGTGGTGTAGAGAAGCCGCCACCACCACCACCTGCTGCTATCGCTGCCCCACCACCTGGCTTCAGGGACAACAGTTCAGATGAGGATGACCCAAAGAGAGGGAGGAAGTCTCGAACCAGTGCCAGCCTTGGGGTCGCCTCTGGGAAGCTGGCCCAAACCAAGGAAGCTGTGCCAGTGACTCTAATTGATAATGTGGCCACGAGAACGGTCCGAGATCATGCCCAGGAGCTTGATGATGCGTTGGTGTCCACCTTACAGGCTCTAGAGGCTTTGGCAGCCTCTGAGGACTACCCACATCACCCTCAACAGCCAACACAGACTGCAGGTCAAAAGCCTCAGTTGTGCCACGGCCAACATCTCACACACAGTATTAATAATAGAACTGATTCAATAGCTTTCCAAACTATCACTTTTACATCAGTCAGTTTTACACAGCACATTTGCGCAAATATGTCTTTTCATTATCTTGTGAAATGGCAAGACAATCCTGTAATAGCTTAATTACAGGATTAATTAATTAATTTCTTTGTGGTAGCAATTGTACAGTAATTAAAAGAAAACATTAATTACAGTAAAAGGAAACATGAGGTCTCTGAACAAATTGATCAATAGCCAAAACAAAAATGATATTACAGTAAAGCTAAAAAATACTACGGAAGCCACAACAATATTAGCTGATGACTATGGCGTCTAAACATTTGCTAGTCTTGGCACATTTATCAAGCACACATGTATATTTGCATGGAAAACAGACGTTCTTTTAGATACAGTGAGGCAAGCTCACAGGTTCATCAAAAGCTTGTAATCAAGAAGAATCTACTTAACCAAAATGGTTTGATAACTGACTAGTAGTAGATTAAAAACAAATATAAATGTACATATTTTTGTGTTATTATTTTTATTGTGTCTTGATTATTCTAACAGTGTCCTGTTTGCCTTCATCAACAGGGCTAATTGTCTTAGCTGCAATTACACCTGAGTCATCATTGGACTCAGGCCACGAGACCAACTCTTCTGAATTGGCTGATGTTTCGGAGATGGTGTCGGCCATGAAGCAGAACCAGAACCAGGCCTACCTGCTGGCTCATCATATCAACAAAGAACGTATACTCTGCCGTCGTGACTTTCCCCTGGCTATCCCTGGCTGCACTGCAAAGACCATAGGGACTGGGGCCTTTTCTGTGGGTCAGATTCGTGCTGGCTGTCCAACCAAACAAGTCATTCTCAGCAAGACGATTCCCTTTAAAGTCAGTCCCTGTCAAGACCCTGCAGTACTCAATGTTGTGACAGAGCAAGGGGGCAATCAAGAGACCCAGAAGGAACAGAAAGCAGAGATGAAAGCAAACCCTGAGTCCACCAAAGCAAACACCCCTGATGACCATTCTAAGTCACCTGATGAACTTAAAGTGTCTAGTGCTTCACTGACAGCTCAAGTCAGTAAAGATCAGAAGCTATCTAGTTCTTCTGGGGAGAGCCTGAGACAAAATCTTTTGGAGGGCATAAAGGGGAAGACGACAGCACCTCTTAATGGAGACCCTAGCAGCAAAGCCTTACCTATCCTCCAACCTGTGGACAGAATTGCCTCTGCCAAGATTTCACCAACTAATATGTGCCAAGATGCCAAGACTGCCTCTAGTGAGACCATGAAGCCTTCAAGCTCTACAGAACTTTTGTCAGTTGACGGCCTTTTCTGCACGTGTCCGGTGCAACAGGAGACTGGGCCTCAAACTAAACTGAAAGATCCACAGGTTCAGAAGATAGCCGTGTATCAATCCTCCTCTCCCACGGATGACGAGCGTCTCCGGGCCAAGAGCCTTCAACTTGCTAACAGCAAGGACAACGTAGTGAGAGTAGGGGCGGATCCTTGTTTGGCAAAACCTAGCCCTCAAACACAAATGAAGTACTCCCCTCATTTGCCTGTAAAAGCAGAGAGGAAAGAGGCAGCTGAAAACAAGACTGAGAGTGCTCCGAGCAAATCCCAACCCGAGTCACAGAAATGCCCCATAAAATCGTTACCTATTTTAGATGATCTGACAACACTCAGCCCTTCTGTAGATAAGGTCTCCACTCTCCCAGCCAGAGACTCAAAGATGCAATGCAGTAGTAAGAGCAAATCACAGCGCAGTGCTCCCTTCTTGAGCTTTAAAAACCTTCTTTCAGCTACGTTTCCGGCACGAATGCGAAGAGAAACAGATGAACGGAGGGCTCAGTTACAGAAAGTCCGTCAGTATGAACTAGAGTTTTTAGAGGAGCTGCTAAAACCCAAGTCATCCCAAGGGGAATTCTTGCCCCAGGGATCCTCACCTGTGCCCTCAGGCACTCCTTGTGCTTGCCAGCTCCGCACAAGCCCTGTCCTAAAGGCCCCAGGTATATCCAGGGAGCAGCGACGGAGCTGTGACTGTAAGCGGATGTGTAGAGGCATGCGACTACCTGACACACCGGTTGGATCCACAACAGAGACACAAAACAGAGGAAGAGAGGGACCCATCTCTAAAACCCCTCCGGCAGTCTCCAAAGCAACTCACATCCAAGGTGCTTCAAGGAGACCTCAGATCTTGGAGATCAAGACAACACGCATACGCTCTACCAGTCTGGAGTCCAGAGAGCCTAGGGGGGAGCAAGGTTCCCGCTTGCCGAACTGTACTTCTCAATCCGATTGCACGGCATCTCCACAACACAAGAAGCTCCAGAGGCGATACAGCATTGGAGAGCTGGATAACAGCACTAGCATGCCTGTGTATGCTGAGGTGAGACCCAAAGCCAAGAGTCTAGAAAAGGAGATGGAGAGAGTGAGGGCCACAGGGCTGAGGCTCCCTACCCCAGTAGAGCCGGTCCACACTCAGTCTCACCAAGCAGAGGGGAAGGGTAAAAAGGGTGTGTTTTTCATTCAGGGAGAGGAGCAAATGCGTGAAAGTAAAGAAGGGACCAGTGAGGTGCTGCTGACCCTGCCTGGTGAAGACAGCGACGACAAGGATAAATGCTGCTCGTTCTGCTTCTGCTACAGGAAGTGCGAGGCTGCAGATGAAAGCAGTGAAAAAGAGGAGCTCTCATACTCCATACCCCTTCAGGTCCTTCCAGGCATGGAGCTAGACTCGCGTACCTTTCCCGTAGTGAGCAAAACGCTCCAGGTTCTTGATGCAGAGGATTGCAGTGGGGGTGAAGAGCAGGAGGAGGAGGAGGAGGAGGAAGAGGAGGAGCCACAGACACAGGAGATTGACCTGAGAGCCTGTGGTACAATGGAGGGGAGCCTTGCACGGGTCCAGGCTCTCCAGGGGAAATGTTTCTGCTTGCCTGACGGTTTCCTAAATGCCCAGTTGGATGCTAATGAGCTGCTAGCTATTCTGCGTCAGTGTGCTAACAGCCCACAGCCGGAGGGCGAGGCTCGCCTTCAGCCCCCACAGATTGCAGAGTACAAACAGGAGCTGGCAGTGCGCTTCAAGGAATTCAGAGCATCTTGTCGACGAGTGGCGAGTGTTGAAAAAAGCCCGACACGTATGCTCGCTGTTGTCACAGCCAGCTTTCAAGTGTTGTGTGAACTAACGCAGACCTTCATAAAATTGGTCAGGGGGGTTCGTTCGGAAACCCAAAGGCTGCAGCTGTTACGAAAGGTTGAGGAAGTAGCTATCAACTACACGTTGCTTCTGCGCGCAGCGGAAGAATCGATGGGGCACTCAAGCAGCTTGCCGACGAAATCAGTGAGCCCTCAAGTCTCCTCCAACACCAATAACATGAGCTCCCTCACTCGACCCATCAAAACTCTGCCTGCCCAGTAACAACACATCTGGCAGGCATGGGATCCATACCGCCGAGGCTGTACTGTGCTACTCTACCCAAATTCATTATTTGTTTATTGTTTACATTTTTTACAAGACATGCAATGACTTATCCTCAGTAAAAATTGCAATGCAGCTGTTCCATCTCATATTTACAGGCCCTGAGGTAGCCTCGTGGATCTTGTTTTGAAATCTAAAGATACACCAAACTAATGCACAATGGAATAAGAACCCGATAACAGACTGGGTGATACAGGGCTAATCCCCTTATATTAAAATTCATACATATGTCATTAGTATAATATTTTATATGTGATGTATATTGGGGTTGTGTCTACTTAGCAAATAATATAAAGTTTTGTGAAGAAAAAAAGTGAAGAATATATTTGAAATGTACTGAAATAAGAGAACTATAAAGATTATAATAAATCATCAAATAAATGTTTCCTCTGGACAAAAACTCTTCAGAGATCTCGTCAAGTAGCGACTTCTGTAAACCGCATAGTCCAAAGCGTTGGCTGGTTAGATGGTGATGTGTTCGTTTTTTGAAAATATTAACTGTTGTAATGCAAAATGGAGATCTCTGTTGGCAATAGTGACAATGTCTGGCGTAGTGATACATGAATCAAAATGTAAGTGACAGTGTTGGAAAATGAAAACCGCTGAAAGACGACTATGACATTTGAAACTATATTGACTGACAGAGGCCCATTCTCTCACTATGACAGTGCAGGTATGAAACACACTCGCTCTGGGCAGACAATGTAGCAGAGACACAAGTCGCAGTCTTATCCACGGTACAGTAACGAGTGTTGTTACCTCACTCGGCTGTAGGAGAGGGATACCCACATTGTACTAAATAACACACGGTGTATTTGACACCTTCACTGATCCATGGCTCACTTGCAACTCACTTGTCTTGAATTATAGTTTTTAAATATAGCCGTCAACGCGCAAGTGGGAAAACGTATCACTAGAATTTTGCACAAATTGAAATTAGCTCTGAAGTTGAAATGTATCTTTTAATAGTTGATTAAGTGGTTTTTGTTTTACACTGCTGCTGGGACCTCACTCAAGTCCACGTTACCAGTTTTACATAATTCATCTCCTCAAAGGTACAGCGTTCCCGTTTCAGAAGATCTTTTGTTTTAATTCAGGTTTTCAGATAAAGTATATAATAATTTGCTTTCTATGTGCTGTTATACATTGTGCAATCTAGCAAATATATAAAACCCCACAAAGTAGTTTTCTATGTATTTTAATAAAACTAACACATCTGTTTCCTGTCTGAAATTTTCTTTGTGTCTCATCCTCTTGTTATTCCTTAAATTGAGTCAGAGAGACTTGGCCTAATATGTGTTCTGGACATAATGTTAAAAGAGAGTACTATTAAAATCAAATCAATTGTGACAACTGGACAGTCAAAAAGAACGAGAATATTGTCCTATAAATGCACACATTCTGTGGCCAAATTATGTCTTTGTGCTGCGGTAAATCTGAGCCACTTACAACTTTTTCGTTTTCAGCTTAAATGATTGTTTTCTAATTTGTCTGTGATTAATTCTTCATCAATATAGCTATATAGCTCCCCATACCATAACAGTTTTAATTTTCGACTGAGATTGACTCCCAATGAATAACAGAAGTCACAATATAAACGTTGTTATGCTTATTTTCTTGTTTCAGAACCCATTGGTAGTGTTTACAAAGCGCCCTCTTTGAACAGTTGGTCTTTTCCTGTTGATGTGTCATTGTCCATAGGCATATCCAGTGTTCTCCCACTGTACTGCATGTTTTGCTTTACATGTTAGACTTTCAGAGGCTGATACTTTGACCATTGAAGGTAATGATATTGTTTATATGAATAATTTTTAATTTCTAAAGTTGGAAGAACAGGCAAAAAATGAAATATGTTCATGTTTTACAAATGGTATTCAGTATGGAAATGTATTATTCTACACAACTGTAAATAGTAAGATAACATATTTGAGAGAATAAAACACTTTTAAAATATTACCTGTAATACTAATATTTATCCAAACTATTCACTCTTTTGTAAAAAGGAAAATACAAAACAAGTCTGTAAGGTAATCATTTATAGTAGTAATGTAACATAGACACTAATAGCAAAACCTATATTTTATTGAGTATATATTGAGTATAAAGCATGTAACATGTTTATTTTTATAAAGAAAAATATCAGACTATGTTCTCTCATCAGCTTTTGAACATTTTAACATTCTGGTAAACATTTTCTGTGGTTGACATTGTTCAGTTGTTTTGCTAAACTATGTGGATTTGTCTGTGTTTCATTCCCACGATGAGCCTGCAATGGCTTAATCCATTGTTTCTTTATGTGCACTATTCATTCCTGTCTTTATTTACTGTCAATGATCTTGTCGTCACTGTGGTCTGTGTACAAAGTTAACTCATGTTTTACGAGCAATAAAGACTATAATATAATCTCTTGGCATTGCATGCAGTAAACGTTCCATTGTGACACGGTTTTGGTCATGAAAGATAAATAGACCATAAATATATTTCTCTTGTATCGTTTAAAATTGATGTTGACTTAACAGTGCAAATATTTTCACACCAACTCGTGACAAAAAAATGGTTTTGTGTTGGTGACATTTTAAATTTAGAGGTCTATGGATGTTAGATATCTCACACTGATCATTTTACACACCAGTCAAAATGAAACACAGTAATACTCCACTGCTGATAGTTAAGAGGCTTCATTGACTGTGGTCAGGGTCCCGATGTTGGACACACTGTCTCACTGCCACACTTCTCTAGCTTATTAGACAACGTAACCCCTGGGATTTTCATACTTGTAGACGTGTCAAAATTCTTCGAAAAACGGCGTTTGGGCCACTTTACTGCTTCTGTATTTCTGTGAACATTTATAAAAGTCCCAGAGTTTGCCACGTTGTCGCTAAGGTGCTGAAAAGGGTACCAGCCAAACATATTTCAGAGATCACTGCCAAAATGTCAGTTTGTAGATGTAGCTTTAATGAGAACACAAGGGGAATGAACGGCCTCGAATATGAATATAGAGAATTCACAAAGCAAAGGCATTATGAAGGAAATGCAGAGAGCATTAATGATGGTTTAGTTCCATTAAAGGTCCTAGCAAGCTATTCCAGGAATAGGATCTCCTCTAAGTGGGATGCTGCCACACTTAATGCCATTAAATATCCACCAGGGCTTTCCCTCAGGGACACACTGTTTACAAACAATCACGTTACATTTACTCCAATATCCGAGTTTGTTGTAAAAAAAAATAATAATAAAAGTAAATATTCGACAAATTTGTGTCAATAACAAGTACAACTCCAGAAACAGGGGCCATTACACCTCGCTTCAATGTATTGGCGTTAACTTAACGTCACGTGGTGTAAGCAAACTCGCACCGGCGAAGACAGTCCGTGAACGTGTCTCGGCGTGACGTCATCGCGGCAGAACGTAAAGCCGAAGCGTGCGTGCCACTCCGGGACGAAGAGCCGCACGCGGGATGCGTGGGACATAATGGTGGATAGGTAACGTTAGTGGAAACAGTCCGCAGCTGAAAGAGAGTAGACCAATTTGTCGGCCGTTTCCCACCGCCGTTGCCTCGGACCCTCTGATTCCACAGCCGTACCCGAAGGACTGCGACGGAAAATGCCGAATATCAAAATATTCAGCGGTAGCTCGCACCCGGACCTGTCTCAGAAAATAGCAGACCGCCTGGGTCTGGAGCTGGGGAAGGTCGTCACGAAGAAATTCAGCAACCAAGAAACCTGGTGAGTCGTGCGCAGCGGGTGTCTGCCGCTCAACAGACGCGTCCGCGCAGAGCTTAGCATGTAGCCTAGCCGCACGGAACGCCGTTTAAATGGAAACGTGGTGTCATGGTGAAAACCGACGCGCGCCGTGTCGTTGGGAACTTGTGGTCCCCGCGTGCCCACTGAGGTGGCTTTGTTGCCGGCAGCGCCAAAAACGCCACCGCGCCAACACTCCGCGAGCTGCACTTTTTAGGCCGTGCGACGTCGACGAAGCCCACGCCGACGCTCACCAGCCGTTGTTTACTCGTGTCTCATCGTTTCCTGCCCGCCGCGGTTGCGTTTCCCGCCGTGGCAGTCTAGTCACTGGTCTCTCTCTCATTCCTTCCCTCCCTCCTCTGGCAGCGTGGAGATCGGAGAGAGCGTCCGTGGGGAGGACGTCTACATCGTCCAGAGCGGCTGCGGGGAGATCAACGACAACTTGATGGAGCTGCTCATCATGATCAACGCCTGCAAGATCGCCTCTGCCTCCAGGGTCTCTGCCGTCATCCCCTGCTTCCCGTACGCCCGGCAGGACAAGAAGGACAAGGTGGGGGTGAGGGATATCTGTCTAATTACTTCGGTCATGCCATTTGCCATCCAGCATCATGACAAGGAACCCGCGACCATGCCCATCAGTAACCACTTGAAGTAGCTATTGTGCTTTTCTTTCTCTCTCCCGCTCCTTTTCCATTGTCCTCTGTGCTTCGCTCAATCCACTGCACCTCCCATTTACCCTGACCCGCTGCCATCTGCACGTTTCCTCATTTCAACATTTTTAATTGCTGTACATTGATTGGATTTTAACGACCATCAAGGAATGTATTAGAATTGGCATATGACTAAAAGTCATCCACGATCTAAATGTTTGATCTATAGCCATTTGTCTTTTCCTATATTAAAATACTACACGCCATATATTCTTCTAACTTATTGACTGAGTGGAATGCCTTGAGTTTACCTGTGCAGGCCATTTTATATAGTAGGTATCAAAAAGTAATTTCAGATCCAGTTCCAAATATTGTAATATTTAACTGGTAAGATTTCAATGGCTACGCCCAGTTGAGGGTTATTTTTAGAAATAAGCAATGCTTGCAGTTCACCATGTGACGGACGAAATCTATTTTCATTGCAGAGCCGTGCCCCGATCTCTGCCAAGCTGGTGGCCAACATGTTGTCCGTGTCCGGCGCTGACCATATTATCACTATGGACTTGCACGCCTCACAGATACAAGTAGGTAGCACAAACATGCACACCATTCAGTCTCCTGCCATTTATCTGTATCAAAATTAGAAACTAGACTTCAGCAGCCAGATTTATGTCAATAATGTGAGCCTTGTGTCCGGCAGGTAGTAAATGTTCAGCTCCTGTAACCCCCGTCCATTTACTTCTTTCCAGGGATTCTTTGACATCCCCGTGGATAATTTATATGCAGAGCCAGCTGTGCTGAAATGGATCAAAGAGAACATCCCTGAATGGAAAAACTGTACCATTGTTTCGCCAGATGCAGGCGGAGCCAAAAGGTATGTGGTAGTAACACTTTCCATGCTGTAGGTGTTAACTTTTTTGAGCCTGTTCTGGAATTTATTTCAACATATATAATCTCTAGTTTGCTTTGCTTATCTCTGGAAAGGTCTAATTTGATGTGTGTTTACGGCGTCATACACAACCGCTCTAACTCGTGGACATTATGTTCTCCTCTCGCAGGGTCACCTCCATAGCAGACCGGTTGAATGTGGATTTTGCTCTCATTCACAAGGAGAGGAAAAAGGCAAACGAGGTGGACCGCATGGTTCTCGTCGGTGACGTCACCGATCGGGTCGCTATTCTGGTGGATGACATGGCTGACACGTGTGGCACAATCTGTCATGCTGCTGACAAGTACGCCCTTTTACTTGCCTCCTGTCGTCAATTCATTTAGGACAGGACATGACATGAAAAGTATTGACCCCAGACAAGACAAGCTCACTTTTAAAAGAGTGCCTCGCTGAAATATTTTTAAGAGGACTCTGACGATATAACCAGTCAAGTGGAGCATTGTACTGCTTTCTCTCCCAATAGGCTCATTTCTGCAGGGGCCACCAAGGTGTACGCCATCCTGACACATGGCATCTTCTCTGGCCCAGCCATCACACGCATCAACAATGCCTGCTTCGAAGCTGTGGTGGTCACCAATACGATCCCTCAGGAGGAGAAGATAAAGCATTGTCCTAAAATACAGGTTTGGCTTCAGCATTTATTTCTTTTGTGATTTATTTTTCCAACCAGAATTCAAACGGTGAGCAGTGGAATGCTTATTCACCTAACCAGTAGCTCGATTGACGGTTTTTATGAAACCAAAAGTCCTCCGTTTGAGAAGTTAGATTTTTGGCCACTTCTGTTTTTAGAAGTCTGTTAACATCTTCACTTTCTGCCAACAAACGAGTACATTGTTCTGTTCTCAATGTCCAATCCTGTCTCCCTCCAGGTTATTGATATCTCCATGATCCTGGCGGAGGCCATCCGTAGAACCCACAACGGCGAGTCTGTGTCGTACCTTTTCAGCCATGTGCCCTTGTAACGAGCGATGTCTCCTATGTGCTGTGTGCCGTTTCACCAAATAAGAGAAGAGGGAATTCTACGACAAACGACCATTCGCAAACAGATGTTCCGCTAACTAACTGGAAAATGAATGAATTGTCGTGTTATTGATAACGCTGACCCCCCCCGACCCCCGTCAGTCCTTTTAGCGTGTCCCCCCCCGAGCAGTGGCCAGCATATTTATTGTTGTATTGTACCGCCCCCTCCCTTAACATTAAGGTAGAGTTTCTCCTGACCATATTACCTCTCCAGAGGGACGTACTACAGAGCCGGGGTTCTTTGGCTCAGCGGCCTCAACAAAAAGCCTGATCAGAGCTGAGGGGAAAGGTGTCGTCAACTTGCTTCTTTTTTGACTCGAGCTTTCTTTACTACACTCCAGTGGGCTTTTCCATGGAAGCAATTTTACTCATTTACAGGACCAGTCGCATGCAGAATACCACTGCCTGTAGATTAAAACAAAACTGTTTCTACAGGCCAGATAGCTGCTGTGTTAAATTGTTAATATTTTTATTTTCCCACTCGTTGCATCTGCAACGCATAACTTTATATGCAGAACTTTATTATTTTTAACATGACTGTTGCGCATTTTAAACCTTCATCTTTAGACGTGATGTTGCCGATCTAAACCTTATACTCCAGGTTTGCATTTAGGTGACACCGCATCATGAGCGACGGCCAAATCAAATGGAAAGGAATTGTATTGACTGCATAGTAACGGTGGTAAATTCCCACAGATTTCTATCTTTTCTAATCCGTGTTCTATTGGCTGCAGCACCAAGACTATAGAGCATTTCATATGCGAGTAGAGCGCATACTGATATTATGCTTAACTGCTCTGGATATTACTTGTGATTTTCATAGAATGATTTACTTCAAGTCAATATGGCCGAAGGGCCTGACAACACAACGGTGGTGATCTAGCTCAACAACTTTCCAAATTCCCTGAGTGCAGAATGTATCTCATAGATTGAGTAGTTGTGCCGGTTGTTTCTCCCCAAATATGTTGATTGGTAGAAGGCCGCTTCCTTTCTTGATTCTACCAACCGCACTAATCTTGCTTCGTAGTACATCCCTCAGGTTTTTATTTCAATGTGTCCAGGTGGGGGGAGAGGAGGGTGTGTCCGTGTGTGTGTCCGTCCCCGTCCCTGACTGGTTCCAGTGGTCAGGAGAAGCATCATCCATATTAAGCTGTTACATAACAACATATTGTTAAAAATGAACGAGTAGTTTTTCATGTTGCTCCTGTGTTCTCTGCTATTTGAAAGAATATAATTAATTGAAGTGAATGTGTATAAAACTAGTTTACAGTGCGACTGAAGCTCCAGACAAGCCAAGATTGCCTCAGCAGTCTAATGGAATAACTTAATTTCCTCCAGCCCTGCTGCTATACCCCCCTCCTCCCCCCTTTAGCTGAGTTTTATTTTCCAACTGGATGAAGAACTTTCTTGTGTTTTTATCAGGCACTAAAAGATGTTTGGGATGTCTCTTTCCACTCCTGAAACGGACTGGGGTTTGCACAGTGGCCGGGGTTCACCTCTTGCCGGTTCTGTGTTGACGGGCCTTCTGTAGAGAGCCTGTTGAGATTTTAGTTTGGGGTCTCTGCAGGCTGGAGCTTCATTAAGAAATGTTCACCTGCTATTTCATTTTTGGTATTTTTGTATGATTGGAGAAAATGATTTGTCATTAATGTGCATTTCAAAATCTTTGTTTCCTTTTTCAGTATAGGGTGAATCCACCAGTTATCTGATGTGTTCTTAATAAAATATGCCTAAAAGCCTGGCTTTTTTTTCTGGAATTGGTGCATTTTACATGTATTCATCTCAATTTATAATTAAATAATATGTACAAGTTAAACACAAGCCATGATGCACAATAAGCCCACTTTTGTTTTTATAGATGGTGGTGACCAATTTCCATCGGTCACTTCTGGGTGGATATGATGTCCACAAGGCTCCACGGGGGCTCCGTGCGTGGCGCGCGGGGGAGGTGGAACTAAGAAGATTGGGTCGGGCGGGGGCGGTGGTTCTGGACGCTCGTCGGGCCCCTGTCATCCCAAACAACCTTGGAGTGACATCTTGTCGGGGGGTGAACGCTACGGCCGAGAAAGAACCAACGCGGTTTTTTAGCGTGAGAAATTGGATGCGTGACGAGAGACCGCTCAACGCGTGACACTTGACAGCCCCCTTTCGGTCCCGCGCTCCCGCCACGCATCCAATTCCTCACGCTAAAAAAACGAAATCAGACTTCGAGACGCGTTGGTTCCTCTTCAACCTCCCGGTCGGACGTCAACCCCGACGAAATGTCCCTCCCTTCCTCCTCCTCCTCTTCCTCTTCTTCCTCCTCCTCCTCTTGGTGCTCGTGCAGAGCTGCAGCATCATACAAACAGGTGATGACTGTTTGTGCAAATCCCCCCGACGTTGTTTGGTGATGAATTAACCACATAAGCGCCGCTGAAAACATTACGTGCAACTGGCCCGACGTTTCATAAAAAATAAACAAGCCTTGTCCAGCTGTTTACTGAGGTTTGTCATGTTTAATTAAAAGAGATAGACAGTTGTACTGTTCTACAAATTAGACAAGTTCACAGGTAATTCAATTATTGAAATGAAAGGTATGTCTTACTGCTGCTTATACTTCAACTCTGTCAGAAAACATTAAAATGTATAGATATGTAAGTCACTTGTTTTTTATTCACAACATTGATTTAAATTAGTTACAAAATGTGCAGCATAATGCCAAGAAAAGACAGACAGAAAGCAGAGGATCGACCTGCATCAGCGAGAGCGTCAGTTGTCATTTCAGTTTGTAGCTCCGATCGCCGAAAAAAGACCGGAACGACCACAAATGCTCGGTTTCCGGCTATGCGAGCTTTCGCAACCGCTTTAGGACACCTTCTAGCTGTAGAGGACAACTCGGGTGGACGTCATGAGCGATGTGAATGAACGAGACGGTGCGACGTCTTGCAAGGAGACCTGGGATGTTTTCTGACGACGCACAAATGAATGTCGGTCTCCTCGCTGATCAACAACCTTTTCGTGCTCGGATGTTTACAATTCTGTGTGTTTCTATGCACTACTTTACATTACATTACATTACATTACATTACATGTCATTTAGCTGACGCTTTTATCCAAAGCGACTTACAATAAGTGCATTCAATCATATGGGTACAAACTCAGAAGAACAAGAAACGAGAAAGTGCATTTTCTTCAAATAAGCCAATTTAGATGAGTGACGTTACAAGTACAATTTAAGTGCTACAATTTGTTAGTCTTTTAGTCGAGGTGGAGTCTGAAGAGGTGTGTCTTTAGTTTGCGGCGGAAGATGTGAAGGCTCTCTGCGGTCTTCAGGGAGCTCGTTCCACCATTTCGGAGCAAGGACAGCAAAGAGTCGTGATCTAGTCGAGTGTTTTCGTTTTCGAGTCACTATTTTCTCTAGATGTCTGTGCAGGTGGCTGTATATGTATATGATATTGTCAGGGATGCTATGGAGGACAAAAACATGTATAACTATAAATAAATGTATAAATAAATGCTTAAATACATACAAGTTGATACCTAAACAGTAGCTACATAATTAAATAAATCTATTTCTACATTTCTGTATTTCTACATTTATTTATGTATACATTTCTCTATTTCATTTATTTATTTATTCATTTATTTATGTCTGTATTTTTGTGTTATGCGCCACTCCACCCGTCAAAGGTCATTCACTGCAATGGAGGAAGTTAAACTAAAAACGGACTTGAAAAACGGACATGATAACCTTTGATCATGCGATGGGCGGACTGATGCGTTGACGAGAAATGCAAGTGAAACGTATGCGTATATGTTATCAGACACAAACCCGTTTAAAGCTGATGTGGATAGAGACTATGGGACTGATGTGAGATGTAAAGAACCATGCTCACACGTGCATAATCATGGTGGTGACACCCCGACAGTGCCGTTAATTGCCACTGTTGCAACTCCCAGCACTAACCCCTTTGAAATTGCCCACCCGGGGAGTTTCATTCATTGCACTCCAGTCTCCTGTCATTCCCCACGCCCACGGGCCCACATTCGCACAGCCCTGATGGCAATTCACTCAAGAATGTAAATAATGCAGCAATGCCATCACAGCCCTCCTGAAATGGATTCTTCTTCCACCGAGGACGCTCAGGATAGGGGTTGAACAACAGAACAACCTCTCCAGGGTCGTCACAGGCTGGGTCGCAGACCTAGATCTCCAGACAGGTTTGGTGAATGGGTGGCTCTAGGTTCAGTTTCCGGAACTGTCCATGAACCTAGAGCCACCCATTTTAGAACCAGGTATTTTGATGTACCATGTATATAACACACAAAGTGTCACGGTGTGGTTTTATTTCTTGTCTTATTTTGTAGTATTCTGCTTCTTGTCTCCCTGGGTAACTTCACTTCCTGCCTTGTCCTGTCATCGTCTGTGATTGTCCGATCGTTTCCACTTGTGTCCAATCACATGCACATCCCTAGTGTATTTAAGCTGTGTGTCTCTTGTGTCACTTGTCGTGTCATTGTCTATCATCGTGGATGTTTCTTGTCAATCGTCCTGCCTGCCTCTCGTTGTAAAGTAGTAAATTACTTGTGTAGTACATGAATGTCTTGCCAAGGATTGTAAATCCCCACGCCCAATGTGTGCCCTGCACAGAGGACTGATAATTACTGTATAACTATGCCAACGACTGTTGCACCCTCTAATGGACTGCGGAAGATGGGTTGCCCAGACTACCCCGAATGAACTCTGCGAAAGAGGGCTATGTACCTGTGAAAAAAGAGCAGGGACGAATTACCTGTTGTTGTTGTTTTTGTTGTATGTTGTGCTGGAGTGGAATTAAGTTAGGTAATTGCCATCCAGAGTGGGGGTAGTGTCGTAAAATGGTGCGGCCCCTTTAAGAGCAGCACGTACGGGGTGGGTATGGCAGAGAAAGAGGTGTAGAAGGAGCGGGAATTTTTATGAATGTGTGGTCGTAGCGACCGGAGAAAACGATGTATTGTAACTGTGTTACCCAGTGTGTATAAATAAATCTTCAAGAATAAATACAGTGGGCATTTATTTGCGCACCTGCAGCAGAAAGGAAAGGGAAGGTGATTAACCCCGAGGTTACCAATAGGTAATACTTCGGCCCTGGAGCATAGAAGTCTCCCCTGCACTCTCAAACTACGGTCAGAGACTGACAGGCGGGAAAGGTTAACGTGATTGACGGGCAAAGTAACCAATCGTCAACCGCGTGACGTGGGCCATCTTGACCAATGGTTATTCTAGGAGGGGCGGGCCAATCATCTGCAGTGTCACGACAATTTCTGTCCGTATTAGGAACGGAACACAAAGGTGTCGCGTAGAGACGAATAAAACACGTTGTAGGTACAGTGAGGGAAAACAAAAGGGCGCATGTGCTGCCTTCGCCTTCAAAGCAGTTGCTGTGGAAATTGGGCATTTCGCGCTATATATTTTGTGTTTTTTATTAGTCTACTGATCACTGGGTAAGTAGATTTAATCTGATCTCAAAATACACTTAACGTTCATATTTCAAGATAATGTATTATTTATTTAATTGTAATTTATTTGGATGGGTTTTTATGTTTTGGTTGTATTTCTTCTTTGAAAGTGGGCAGTCTTAATATCAATCTGATTTACCTTTCTTAATTAAACGAATTGTTCAATTTTTACCCCGCTAAAGGATGGCAGGAAGCCCTGACAACAAACAAGACGGCGGTGGCCCCCGGGATCAAATGGTTCGTTTCCACAGCTACTTGCACGGAGGGACCTCCAGCTTGCTGAGCACCCTACCCACCCTCATTGTCTTCCCCGTCTATAAAACAGTCTTCCGTCAACAAATCCACAACACCCCTGTTCGCCAGGCTGTGGCACAGCTCATCAAAGAGGGACCTGCAAAACTCTACAGGGGTGTGGCCCCACCATTACTAATGAGGACCCTGAATGGCACGCTGCTGTTCGGCCTCCAGGACACCCTACTCCGCCTGCTCTCCCCGTCATCCAGAAATGCCCCGTTCACCTCGGCCCTGCCTGCTCTGGCTGGGTTTGGTGCAGGAATGGTGGAAGCTGTGGTCTTTACCCCCTTTGAGCGTGTCCAAAATGTGTTGCAGAACAGCCAGAACGACCGCCGCCTACCCACCGCGAAGAGCGTTCTCGTCAGGCTGGGGGCACACGGGCTGGCCTCAGGCTACTACAGAGCCTTGCTGCCCATCACAGCCCGCAACGCTCTCGGCAGCTCCATCTACTTTGGCTTAAAGGGGCCGTCGCGTGCTGTCGTGGAGGCACAGGGGCTTTCTCCGGGGGTTTCCTCTTTCATCTCGGGGACGCTGACCTCCATGGCCGTCAGCTTGACTCTTTACCCGCTGGCTGTGCTAGTGGCCAACATGCAGAAACAGGTGGGAGGTGAGGTGAAAGGGGTCGTGGCGTGTTGGCGGATGCTGTGGGAATCTCGGCAGAAGAAGGTTTCTCTGCTGTACAGAGGAGGTTCACTGGTTATTTTGAGGTCATGCATTACATGGGGAATCGCCACTGCTATCTACGACAGGCAGCAGAAACGTTCAGGCTGAAAAAACACCAGTAAACAATTGTTTGTATTGTTTATCGTTACGACAAACATTTTTTTAACGTTCTGAGAATGTTTTTAAAAAGCATTACTGTGAGGCCAACACACAAGAACTTGCAGTAGCAAGTTCAAAAGACTACTGCCAGGACTGAGCTGGAGACCACGTATTGAAACACCAAAGTTAATAAATACCTTTATATTATAAATATGGGGATGGTGAATCAGGTGCTTTGCATTCGTATTGTCATAATGGGGTTCGGTTTACTGATTATTTGACCAGTTTAACTCATCAAAGTATGTTTACCTATCATATGACCTGTTCAGGTTGAGTAATGGACCAATATAAGGAACTAAAGGTCAGTATAAGCTTCTGCTTTGATCTTATACCAAATCCCTGTAATTACTGCCTGAATGACGGTGGATGCATTTTATGGTGTATTGTCAAGACATTTTTTACCTGAATGAAATTTTGCATGTGAATTGACATACTGGAAAAAAGTATGATTGGCCTTGTCTGGGGCGGCACGGTGGCGTGGTGGTTAGCACTGTCTTGCCTCACAGCAAGAAGGTCCTGGGTTCGATTCCGCCCAGTGGCCTTTCTGTGTGGAGTCTGCATGTTCTCCCCGTGTCTGCGTGGGTTCTCTCCGGGTTCTCCGGCTTCCTCCCACAGTCCAAAGACATGCTCTGGGGATCAGGTTAATTGGGGACTCTAAATTGCCCGTAGTTGTGTGAATGTGAGTGTGAATGGTTGTGTGTCTCTGTGTAGTCCTGCGATTGGCTGGCGACCAATCCAGGATGTACCCTGTCTATCGCCCGAAGTTGGCTGGGATAGACTCCAGCCCCCCCGCGACCCTGTGTGCAGGATAAGTGGTTTGACGATGGATGGATGGATGGCCTTGTCTGGATGGAGTTTGAATGTTCTTGCTATGTCTGCATGGGCGTCCATAGACCTCCTTATTACACTGCCATCTCATCCAGAATGTATCCTACCTATCACCTCGTATTTGGGCTAGCTGGTGCCCTGTGCCATGAGCCGATGGTTGGAAATAAATAGGTATTCTAAAATGGATGCCAACCACCTTGTAAGAGCCATATTTGCCTTGATAACATGTGTTTATTGTCTTATAAAAAATGTGTCATGGCTCCTTTAAGTTTCATTGCTGATGACGTCATAGCCTATGTTCTCCAGTCGAGGTTTATCAGTCTGGAGTGCAATACAGTTTTTTGACCGTCGAGCACTAAATGTTCCCTGTAACTAAGTTTTTGTGAAGTAAATCTTTTTAAAACGAAGTTGCTGTCTATGAAGAATCATTACGCGTCAAGACTGTGACAGTAGTGGCAATAACATCAACGAGTACGGAATTAAGATTGCCGCTATACACCTCTTTGAAATTGTAATTATTGCAGTACAATTTCCCCATCCTGAAAGTGCCTCAATAAATGAATCTCATCCATCAAGTATTAAAAAAAACGGTGACTAATTTACTTTTGCTCAATTTTCTTTAACTCGTTGTACCTTTTTCGTCAAACTAGATTTAGTCCACTAGATGGCGTGAGTGTCTCTCAAATACAATCACTGTTCCACCGCGATGGGAGATTAGTGGTCGTGCGTCACTCTGCGCAGGTAAGAGGAGGAACAGACGATCCAAACGGTTACAACATTCCTGGACGTGAACAGGCAGCTAGCGGCCCCGCCCACAAATCAAGATGGTCCAATCAAATTTTTCCCCGGAGCTTTGGGAGCCAATAGGAGCCCGGAAATCGGTGTCCATGTTGCCCCGCCGAAGGGCGTGTTGTTTGTACTTAAAGCGGAGGCGTTGCACACATGACGCAGACGCATTTTTTCCCCTACCTGCTAAGGACGCCGCGCACTCCTGCACCAGGTAAACTCATTCTGAAACCTCTATGTTTATCAACTCGCACGCTCAAAAACAAGCCTAAACGTTGTAATGTGCTGCAAACGTTGACCATGTTGAGGCATACATCTCTATTTTTAAGTTAATATGTGTTCAACATTCCTGCGACAGACTTTTCCTCAGTTCCTCTTCCACCATGTGGATTCCTCAGCTTTATTGTCGGGCGTGATGTGACGTCGCATCATTCTGCCCTCGAGCGCGTTTTTAATCGCGAGCAGTGGTTAGAAAGTAGATTTACTGGTTTATGTGATTTCAGACCAGTGTTCCCACTGCTGGGAAAGTCCGAGGTGGTGACGTGATGGGGGGGGGGGGGGCGTCATGTTTTTCCAGCTCCCTTTTTCTCTCTCACCAGTTTCTTTTTTTTTTTTTTTTTTCTTCTTTTTTTCCTCCTGTAGAACTCCACCAAAATGAGCAACCAATGCCCAGTCAACAAGGAGGTGAAGACGTTTAAAAGAAGTAGTCTGAAGAGGACCGAAGTGCAAGAGAAGAATCCCCTTCCAACTACTCAGGGTAAATGTTGCACACAAACCGCCCATGTGCCAGATTTCAGTTCAGTTTTTTTTTTTGTCCAGCTCCACTCCACCCTGTCTATCATTTTGAAAGCCATTGCAAACAAAGCTTCACTGATTAACAGCAGGCACACACCCAGCTACCTGAGCCCTCGTCCTTGTGCCGCCTGATGTCATCCGCTCAAAGGACACATTTATCAAAAGGCGTCTGTCTTTTGTCTGGAGGCTGTGGAGCTCCAAGACAAAGTTAGTCACTCCTTGAGCTCAATAAATCCGTGTCCCAGACCATTTACGGCATAATTACAATAAGGCCGCACCTTAGATCGGGTGACAGGAAGGGGGGGGGGGGTGTGAGTGTGTGTGGGGTGTGTGTGTGTGTGTGTGTGTGTGTGTACTTTCATTTGTTAAAGTTGCACTCCCCAAACAATGTTAATAATCTCATATTGAGGTAACGACTTCAACCGGGTCAAGATAAAAGTCTGTGTGTGTGTGTGTGTGTGTGTGTGTGTGTGTATAGTGGAGGCGGAGGCGGCCTCTGATTAGCGCATGTTATCGTTCTCTTATGTAAATTCCATGAGTCAACGGTTTGTCTATAAGCACTGGTCGTGTAATTTGGAAAGATGTCAGTATTAACACCAGCATCGATGCGTGCAATCGCAATACGTCATATATTGTAGTTTACAGCTACACATACAAAACTATCTTCCTTTTTTTTTTTTTTTTTTTTTAAGATAGCTAGAAAGGATAATTTCAGACTTCCTCTTGCCTGGTTCACCAACCTAGTCCCAGGACAATGTTTACTAGAGTGTCACTTTATTCCATTTCCCCTTGTGTTGAAAGTGGAACTGTCAATGGCAACAGTCATTGTATATTCAAATGTTACTCTCATCACAGTTCTGTGTTGTCTACAAGTTCTTCATTGAGAGGATGACAACGTTTTAAATACGGTGATGCATCAGGTCGTTTTCTTGTCCCGACAAGGTTGTGCTGAGCTTTGAATGTTGATGAATCGACTGCTCCGTTATCGATTGATCCCCTAATCTTTGTCTCCTTTCTTTAGTAATTGATGATGAGAAGATCGCCATCAAAGAGGTAAGTACCTGGAACGTACTTGCTGTTATTCCTCATCCTGTCTTGCTCTTCCTTCAATTTGGAACTTTGTCCAACATCTCAGCCTGTACTTGGTTTCTGTGAATTTGAGAACTCTGTTGTTTTACAAGCAGGAACTAGGCACAACTCATGTTCTTCTTCCCCTTATTTATTTTTAGACATTTCCCTTGCATGCTCTTTCACCGCACAAATAACTCATTTAATTTTCCAACAATATCATCACATTGCTTATGTTTGGCAAGCGTAGCTCCCAGCACTCGTTTTAACTGAGGTGGGGCTAGATCTCATACTTCATCTCTTCGAAAACCTTTTTGGGGATTTGTTTTTGTACATTCACATATCATTTTATCATGAGTGTTAACATTCACATTCTGTTTTTTAATTTCAATGTTTGTTTTTCCTGCTTTTTTCCACTAGAAATCTATGAAAGTGCCCCTCAACAATGAGTTGGAGGACTTTAGCCCGGACAAGCTGAAGAAGACTGAAACCCACGAGAAGAACCCTCTTCCAACCGTAGACGGTTAGTGTTTAAATGGCATGAGTAGCGCGCTCAGACCTTGATCGGGGTTACTTATTGTAGATACACACCCAAATTCCTGTGAGCTTGTCCTTGTTCTGCAGATTGCTAACAGACATGCAGCAGGATAAATAGTTTAAAGTGGGGCAAACCGCCCTGACGTTTATATTTGGAGGGGGGGGGGGCCTTAACCTTACCACCAGGCTGTACCTCCCAACATAGTCTATTTTACATATGTATGTGTTTTTGTTATTTTATTTCTTCTGTAAGTCATTAAAGGGTCACTTCATAGATTTTACACTGAAAGTTAAGTGAACTTCTCAGAAGTACTTTAGAAACTTGTATACTGTGGGTTTCAAATCCTCATAGTAATTTGTAATAAAGAGAACTGTTTAGTATGTAACGTAATACATCCTGATGCCTTTTTGATTAAGCCAGCGTACTTTACTGGCTATTCTGACCCACGATCAGTCCTCTCTGCAGTGGATGTGTGACAGGGGGTCAGAGCTCAAGGTATAATGTGAGGAAACGGCGTGTGCGATTTGGAAAGCAGTGATTTCTTTGGCTCCGAATGGCAATCTCTAAAACTAACGCTGCCACCAGGAAACGCGGGTTTGAGTTGAACTGCAAAGGAAGCCTGTGTCAAAATCTGACCGTCCACCTTTGCTCTGCAGTCTGTAAACACCTGATGGTCTGCCACAGCATCTAGAACATTTTACAGTTGGTTAACTGTGTGCTGTGTACATCAGAGTGGAGTTATTACAGGATTATGATGATGTCCATGCAGGGTACTATATGGCCATGTCAAACTATTAGGATTGTTCTTTGGAAGTTGATGAACCTATGGCTCAGTTGTAGTTTACCTCATCTGTTTTTCTGTGATCACACAGTAATTAATGATGAGAAGATTGCCATCAAAGAGGTGAGTACCTGCTGTTGTCCTTATTCAGTCCTGCTGCTACTCTCTTCCTCCATTTAGGAATCTTTTCACTCAACTCCACCCCTTAATTTCAAAAGTTTCTATGTCATTTTATATGCAGGAACTTGGCATAAACCATTTTTTTGTTTTTTGTCTTGTTAATTTACCTGTATAAGTTTCCCTTGCATGCTCCCTTTCACTGCAAAACACTGTCTTTTAAACTGAGGTAGAGCTTGAGTCTTCATTATTTTTAAAAATGTTTATTTACAGTCAGTCAGCATCTGTTTTAGATTTTCATACTTTTCCCCCCCAATAGAAATGTATGAAAGTGCCCCTCAACAGCGAGTTGGAGGAATTTAGCCCGAACATGCTGAAGAAGACTGAAACCCACGAGAAAAACCCTCTTCCAACTGTAGACGGTAAGTTTTCACACAAATCTGATCCGACCTAGATAAGGATTACTTGTTTGGACACACACCCAACTTCCTGTGAGCTTATCCTTGTTCTGCAGATTGTTCAGACATGAAGCAGCAGAAATAGTTTAAATTCAGAGGAGAAGGAGCTCCCAAAGCTCTGAACTGCTGGTGCATGTCTGCTTTTCTTGACCTCAGGAATGTTCTATGTTGTGCTTCATGCTTTGTTTGTTTTCTATAAGGTGGTAATGTAACTGAAATCAATTCTTTGTTGATTTTGACTTTTGCTCTGAATGAGGCTGTCTAAATTTAATGATTCAATCAGGAAAATCAAATTGGACCTAAAGACTTCAATGGAAGCCTGTTTGAAGATCTGACTGCAGTTTAGAACCTCTCTATCTGTTCGCACGGTGGTCTGTAAACCCCTGATGTCCTAGCATTTAGTCATATTTAGCTCTCTAGCTAGTTCACCACATCTGTCTTTCTATGTTCACACAGTAATAAAGGAAGAGAAGATAGCCATCGAAGAGGTAAGTGCCTGCTTGATATTATCGCTGAGAAACACAAAGTATCTTTCCATTCTGATTTATGTGCCTGTCCAAACAACAAAATTGTTAACTTGATTTCACACTGCAGCTCCAGTCATGAATTGTAATGGGATTGTGGGTTTTATTCTCCAACACTTTATCATACCAAGCTAAAAATTTTTTTTAACTTCGACTGTTTTAATTGGGGTTAATTCTGACTACTTTTTCCTTTAGAAATGTATGAAAGAGCCACTCAATGTGGAGTTGGAGGAGTTTAACGCGCAGAAGCTCAAGAAGACTCACACAAAGGAGAAAAACGCTCTTCCAACTGCAAAGGGTAGGTGTTCAAAATCCTGCTACACAACACTCTATTCGCTGGGAGTGCGTTGTTTTGCCGACTGCCAACTGCACATGCACAGAAACTGTTCCTAGACATTGATTAATTGTAAATAATGTAATCATAATTGTTTTATGGCAAAGGGAGGATCCAGTGTTTTGGGCACTTTCCAGAATACTACACACTGAAATTGATCTTTTAGCTTTAATGTTCGCTTTGACGGTAACAAATGTTGAACATTTGAGGACTAATGCTAGCCGTTGAGACTGTTATTTTGATCTCCTTATCTTTTGTGTGTCTTGTGATCACACAGAAATTGAAGCGGAGAAGAAAGCCCAGAAACAGAAGAAGTAACAAACGACTGCCATGATTCCGCTCCTTCGGTCCTGCCCTGTTACGTGCTCTTCCTCTTCCACTGGTTCTTCATCTTGTCCAGCATCTTCGCCTGTTTTCTGTGCCGCCATGTTTGATTAGAAATGGTGTTTGGATTGATGCTATGGGAAAAGATGTGTCTGTAATCACATGTAGATGCCTTTTCAATGCCAATGTTTTTGAAAGTGCTGAACTGAATTATTATTCTTTAAAAGTGTATTAATAGAAAGACATGGAATAACATTGTTAAGAATACCATGAATATGCTTGTAAATGTTATGAAAAATAACACTATTTTTTTTTTTTTTTTTACTTAATAAAAATAGATTTATCCGATGTTGTGACATTTGTATTTCCGTCCGCCTATTTTTATTTGAACTAATATAATTTATTTTGTATAGCCCGAATTACAAACTTGCCTTGGGGGGCTGCACAGTCACATGCAACATCCCCTATCCCTAAACCCTGACACTCGACAATGAGAACCCAAAAATAAAAGACCCTTCAATTGGAAGGGGGGAGAGAAGCCTGTCCCAGGGTGGTCAGACTGCAATAGTTGTAATGTGTATAGAATGAACAATGTAAAATATGTACAATACATTCAATTCCTACAACAGAGCTGATTAAAATCTTGCAATTGGTAAGCCAGGTGTACTGCGGGACCACTACAGGGACAATCCCCATCGGGCATGACCATCATCTACAGAAGCCTGTGCCTCTATAAAGGCAGGAGAAGGGTCCAGATTGATTTATGATCCATGGAAACCTGCCGGACGAGAAAGCACAAACTCTGGGGAAGAAGCTGAATTTTTGATGTGCGTTGAGATATGAATTCTAGAGCCACTTATTTCTGATTGTCAAACATGACTAGCAAACCAAAATGAAAATTTAAAAAATGTAGCTTGGAATTTCAAATTATTGCAATGCTGCTTAAAGTATCACTGCTATAAAATGGAACTTTTATAGAACTTTGCCGCCCACAGTATAACTTCGGGCCTCTTCCTCTTCCACGTGCTGTAACCTGCTGCAGTATAATCTGGTTCATGTACTTGGTAGGCCGCCCTTGAAAGTCTGATTACACCATTTGCCACATTAAATCATGCAGGGATAAGATAAGTGTGCTAGAACGTTCTGTTTCAACAGCATGGCAAGTCTCATCAACGGATTACTGCTGCAACATGAATTTGGTGCCTCCAGCATTAAGGGAAGTTAAACACCGTTCATTTGTATATTCCTACCTGAACCTACAATATAATACAAAGCTCATTGAGGATCCAAAGGTATGGTCCTAAAGTGGTCGGAAATGTAAATACATTGTGGTAAACTGGTCACATAAACATTACCTGTTACAAAGAAAAACATGACCTATGGCAATATTAAGGTTTTATTTTTGAATAATATGACTACCTTGTTTGTAAGCATGCAGTCAGTTTTCTATGTCTGGACATGAGCAACATGTCCGTTTAAATTGAATTTTCAAACGGTTGGGTGAACCTTTCTCACAGTCAAAATCTCCACCCGGTTACAGCAGGTCTCAGCCTGCAGAAAAAGGGCCACACATTCCACAACGCCATGAAATACGTTTCATGCAGGAGCATTTACCTTCAATATGTATGAGTGTCATATTTATACTTTTCAATGTCATGCAACATATTGCAAAATATTTACATGAATCTTTCATCTTGCTGTATGAACTAGCTTTGGGGACGCATTACATAGACCAGTGGCTGAGGTATTTTTTTTTTCATACTACATGTATGTATTACTTGCAGGCCGTGCTTTTCCACAACAGGCATGTCGAAACACGCTCATATAACCGGCAGGTACTTGAAAACAGAGACCTACTTTATCTCATGTCATTTTCTTAGGTTAGTATTGCATTAACAAACTTGCAAAGACTAATACTGATTTACATTTCCCCTTCTGTTGTAAGGAAGCCTGTAAAACCCATGAAAAATAGATTTAAGGAAATAACATATTTCATGAATCTGCAAACACGTATGGTATGCATGTTGTTTCCTCTTCCAAAGGTCTTGCAGGATCAGTCATGTCTGAAACCTTTTACAAGAGATATTTCAGCAACAGAGGAGAAATAACATGCCTGATGTGTTCGGCTTCCTTAAACATAATTCTTGAGCCATATGCAGTTTGTTTTTCACACTCTAGTATTTAATCGTCACAGGTTTTTACAGTCCTACCTATTTTTGTTGCTTGCTGTGTTCAATTACTCCAACATCATTATCCGTCTCTTGGAAAACAAGTTATATTGGTACTTTACTAGCAACCCTACCGCCTTGAATAGCCATTGTCTCAGAAACGATGTGCCAATGTTTTTCTTGCACAATCAAGACACATTTAAGTAGACTACCATTGCAAAATGACCATACATTAAATATGAAGTAAGTCCATATCATTAGTCGTTGTTTAGCACAAGTCACACCTTTTCTGCATTCATACCACAATTTTTTCTCATTCGGTATTCACCGATACACATAGGTGAATACATTTTGTAAGTAAGTCTTTAAGGTGTTACGAAGCTATGAAATTGCGAGGTGATCGTCATCCACTTATAGCTGAAAAACATAAGTATTAGAAACCCGGTGAGGCTGGTCTGTTATAACAGTTCTTTCATTCTACATTTTGTTTTGCTTTTTCTATGAAGCGGGTCACTGAAACATTGAAAAACACTATCTGAGTCGGATCAAGTAGTTTTTTTTATTACCAACGCCTAGATACCATCCAACCGATCAAGTATTGTGTGTAGAGTGACCCCCAACGGCCACAGCGCAGATGACTACAGATGGAGCCGCAGTTCCACTTCCCTCCCACGAGGGGCGCCAAATAACAGAGGACGTCGACAGGGGGCGGGGCCAGCCCTGCTGTTCCCGCCCACTGGGGGCAACTAAAATCCATCAACAAGCTAGTTATCGTTAGCTCACGCACACCGATGCGGTGAACACCATCACAGATGCTTCGGCCTCAACAAAACATGGACTAGCCGGCCGAGAGACATTCCGCCGCATTGACAGTCGTCCGCCAGGCGAGGACCGTCTCAGGTGGTCGTAATTAGCTGCTTCATTCATGCCGTCGCGGCGGAGGGGAGAGTTTGAGCTGTAAGTGGCGGGCAGGCTCGGCCATCCGGTCGCCGGGACGACTGGAGCAACACGGCTCACTCACCGGTACGCTTGTTTTTTCCGTTAGCATGCTAGTCGAGCTAACAATAACTTGAGGGCTCATTATATATGAGCCCTATATATATATATATTATATGTGTGTTTGTCTGGATATAACCAGTAACGTTAGCTGTGATAGTGTACATCCTCGTCTCAAAGCTTGCTCCTCCATCGTTGATGTTCAGTCGCAGACCTTCGCGACGTGGTGACGAGAAAAACAATGTGAATAAATGTAATGATACGACGGTGGGCTGAAATCCACTCACCGTAGTGTCCAAGTGGTGCGCTGATACCAGAGCTACTACACGTGACTAACGTCCGAAGCGCTCCATGTGAATTAAGTAACGTTACATATTATTACACCTTCTGCTGCAGCCCCCCATGTGTTAAATTACCATCAAATTTGGCCTAAATGCTTTCACGTGAAGACTTGTGTATGTTTTTGTTTACCCAACTCTTTCTCCCAATAGCGAAGGAGCATGGTGGTCCCCCAGGCGGACAATGGCAGTCCAACATCTGGCCTTATGGAGGGCTCCCATCCTGGGCGCGAGAAGGAAGAAGAAGAGGAGGGTCAGGGCATGGCAGGTGGGGAGCTGGAGGAGGTCCGCAAGTTGCAGGAGCTCGTTCGCAAGCTGGAGGTCCAGAATGAGACCCTGCGCACCAGGGGGAGCATGGCCATCAACCCCAGGGGAGCAGGCGACAACAGCAACCTCACAGACGGCGACTATATCAACGAGAGGCTGAGTTGCCAAGAGGTGACCGACTCCCGCCTCGGGTTGCAGCCCGGCGGCGAGCGGCGCACAACAGATTTTGAGCTGTCGCCCACTCAGGACAGCAGCAGTGGTGAGGACATGTCCCCTCTGTGCAGCAACGGAGCGGCTCAGACCCCAGAGAGCCCCTCTCAGGAGACATACGAGTCAGAGACGCTTGCACAGAGCGACTCGGGGCTGAACCAAACTGCAATGGACGAAGTGGATGTCCTAGATTTGGAGGACGGTTATGCAGACGTAGAGGACGAGGACAGTTGGTATGTTTTTGGTATCCGCTGTCCCTTGTTGTGTTTTCCCTCTAACCCACTTGTTTGTGTACCGGACTGATCCGTGTGCTAAACATGTCTAAACATGTGCAGATGTAAGAGTAAAAACCAATCAAATTCATAATGTCTAACACTTCAGTGGTTGGTGGAGTTGGTTTTTAGAAGTTCATGCCACGACAATGGTGTTTTTTTCAGTTTGCTTGTGTATAGGTGGAGGAGCTTCTGAATGAGTCAGATGCGTTCTTTGATTTTAAGCTCTTTTAATTCCCCCACAGGAAGTGACGAGGCACTGTGCTGTGGCAGCAGGTCGTTTGGATTTAAACTTCATTCTTGGCCATTCTTCCCCCTAATTAACAGAATCAAAGAGTCTTTCCTTTCTTTCTTTTGAACTCTTAACTTTGAATATTAACATAGTCAGGAGGACGCCTTGGTTGGGGATGGAGAGAAGTGAGAGATGAAAGACACTGCGCCGACAAAGAGGTGACAAAAGAAATGGGCAGCCAGCCACAGGGAAGAAGTTTAGAAGCCGAAAGTGCCGACAAAATTGAGAGTCTGTCACTTGTCCCTTTTGTAAATTTGACTCTGAGCTGTGTGACCCGTTTGGCAAGTAATTTTGTTTTCTCTGTGTAAGCGTCCGTGTGGGTGTTTCATCGTGGTCCAGGTGACACAGACTGAAGCACACATGTTTTTCAGCACTTTTCCAGGTGTGTTCAGTTCTACGTTATCGTCATAACTGTGCAAATGCAGTTAAAAAACATTACATGTGTGTAGTTGAGCTCCAAATGACCGATTTGGATTGGCTGCTGGTGTAGCCTAATGCTAATTTAATTTTTAAATGGCCGAATATTACTGAAATGACCAGTTACACAGGGTTTATTTCTAAATAATCCATGTTAACAGTTAATAGAGTTCAGTCTAGACACGTTTGTTTGTGCTGCGCATGTTACGGCGCCTGAAATAGGCCCCATATTGTGTTCCTGATGGTCAGTTTAGCGGCTTAACAGTCTGACCATAAGTCTGACTTATTTTCAGTTTCACATCATTAGCCGTACCATATGTCCTTTGGGGGGGTTATCATATCCAAAAATTACTGTAATCCTAACGGCGGCATAATCTCATCTGCTCTGGACCGGATGCTGTCGCACGGCTGAACTGCCGTAAGGGGGATTGCGCAGCGTGTGGTCCGCCCCCCCCCCCCTTTGCCCTGTGTGACCACAAACACTGCGACTGAAAGCTACTTCAAGAGCTCTTGTTGTTGGGCTTTGGTAGAAAAAAATAGACTGCCAGTGGCAAAGTGTCTCCATGCTTAATATTGTTTCTGAGGCCTGATTAGACTTGACAGAAATATTTCGTCCCCTCCGAGCCGATTCAAAATTGCCTTTTCCATTTTGTTCTCGGCCACTTTACCCTTTTCTTTTGTGACGTTTAAGCTTAGCCAAAAAAAGAGTATCTCCATCCTGCTAGCTTGCCCACACTAGCTAAAACCTCTGACATACTCTCCTCACGGTGGAGCAACGTGAACCCGACTTCTCCACCGGGCCTCCGGATGTGTGACCTGAATGTTGCCACTCATTCCACTGGGAAATTGGACCCTTTGTGTTTTGTCCAATGGGAAGAAGATTTTGTAGTTGATTGGCCCCGAAACCAGTCGAGAACCGGGCCCTTTTGTCCGTCCGGCTCAAAGGGGATCGGATCATGTGACCTCCAGTTCAAAGCTTGCGGTGGACTCGTGACTGTTTGCTCTCACTGGGGCCCCCGGACACGTCACAGTTCAGGTGGCCACACTGTGTGGCTGCGTGGAAACAGATGATTGTGGCTGGTCGTTCGATGGCATCATTGTTTCTGGCCGCTGTTTCCAAACATAACTCTAGATTTGCCGTGGTCTGTTTAGTTTTTCTCCAGGACTGCGGCCCATCATGAGCTTGATATGTTATTCACGGGCTGCGATAAGGATGTTGAAAGACGTATGACATAACGTATTTGCTCGCCCGCTGTTTTTATGATCTGATCACATCGTTCACTTTGATCCAGCCTGCTTGTTTGTTTATTGGCTGCTTCACCGTCTCAGCCGACGGCTGCGAGTTAATCCTGCAGGTTGTTTTGGTGCATTGTAAAAAAAAACATTCTCACTGTGGGCATGGCGTGCTTAATACCATTAAGTACATACCGTACAGGCCCATAATTAACACTAATCTCCAACTTGAAAAGCGTGTTTAGTAAAAAGTAGATTAGGCTCAGTGTTTCGGCCCCCACCTCATTTTTCCTGCCCATTCCCTAATCCCCCTTTTGGTCCCGTCTTTCCTCCCATTTCCCCCTGGTGATGGTTTGTTTTCTTCTTGTCTGCCTCTTCTCTACAGGTTGTATGTGTCTCCGAGAAAGCAAGTAGAAGATCAAGGCCCAGATTCTCCAATGAAGTGGTGTCGGCAGGCCTTTGACCACCGGAGCCCCGAGACAGAAATAGCTTGTCGGACCTTGATCAACCGCTTGGACCAGAGTATGTAAACAAGTCTTTTGGGATGTGCGAACCAAATATTTATTATGCCGCGTTTTGTTTGGTATTTGTTTTCCATAAATCCTGAGATTAACAAGTCCATTACAAATGCCAAGCAACAGCGACTTTGAAAATAAGACACTATACTTTTGTTTCTGCCTAAATCAAGATTAAAGCGCCTATTTAAGTACCGAGGGGTTGTTCTACCTCCCTTTGTGAAATGGCTACTGTCTTATTTACTGCTCACTTCTGTGTTTGTTTTAGTTGTATGACACAGCCCGTACACTCAGCGAACGTGTTCAGTGTGTACGTCTCTACGGGTGGACAGAGGTTCACGTCCAACACATATATTATTCACCCAACTCGCAGCTCCAACTTCCTGCAGAACTGGAACAACGGAGCTATTCACACCAGGGCTCAATGACTACATGTAGTCACGGGCCGGGTTGAATTAAGGTGGATAATATCACTTTAAAACGGTACATATGCAAATGTTGCCACTGTAGGTTCTCGAAGCGAAGAAATTAGTGCACCTGTAGTACATCAAACAGTGCGTCTCTGTGGTTAAAGCTGGAAAGCCAGTAAATCAACCCGACTGATGCTGTTACACACAGACATTCGTTGTGTTAACTTAATTAAAACACATGCAAATAACCACGCACCTTACTGGTCGGTTATAACTCGGTCTTCTATTTATGTGGAATACATCGGATAACCGGAGCTCATTCACTCTGTGCTTCACACATGATTTTAATACTGCTGTCACTTCTTTTATATGATGTGATCCGTATCAACGTGAAATACGGTACAGGTATGACTTAAAATAGTGTTGGATATTTGAAATCACACAATTCCTAGAGTAAAAACTTTATTTACATGTTTTTCCCTAAATAACTGATAAAAGTACAACACAACATCTAACTGCAGTTATGAGGCACTGTGTGCACATTGTGTCACTCTGCATCCAGACAACAAGATTCCCTACAGGTCTGATTCTTTCTTTGATGGCCCGTTGTTGGCATGTGTTACTGTTGTTGCCGCCTCAGTGTTACTGTTGTGTTCACCATCTTACACTTCTACACCTGCAAGAACTGAAATGTGGGCTGAGGAACTCTCTTTGCACTAAAACTGAATGTCATTTCCATTTTTCTAAACGCCCTTTCTTTAGCTAGGAATGTCCTTTTTGAGATAGAAAATCTCTTCTTGCATGGAGTCCTGGTCATTAAAGCAGCATGAGCACTTTAACGAAAAAGCACCCTAACAATATATTAAAGCAGGTTATCTCTTTTGTGTGTGTGTCCTACACGAAGGATGTCTAATCTCTCCTCTCCTGTTCCCCGCAGCGTCTCGATGGAGGAACATGTACAGTAGCCCATCAGCAGAGGCAGGCTCGGCAGGCTCAGGCCTGATCTCTCCTGGGTACCACAAATCAACTAACAAATCCCTACTAACCTGTGGCAGCGCAGGTATGGCATGACATTAACACACTGTGCTCCTTTTCTGCTCTAAACATCAGTGGGATTGACTGCATTTATTGCGACGATGTAGGTCAGTTGATATGTATGTGTGTGTGTGTGTGTGTGCACCCGTGCGTAACAATGCGCTCCCTTGGGATATTTTAAGACTGTTCGGCCTTTTTTTGTGCCCTATATAATGCACTTTAATAAAAATAAACCTTTTACATACATATAAAATACTAGAAGATTGATTTTTCTCTTTTTAATTTTACCAGGTAGACCTTATTTTTTTTTCATTACTGGAGTCTCATATCACAACCAAAATATGGGTTCGGAAGGGAATTTTCTAAAGAACAAAAATAAGAAGTGAATATGATATTATGAAATGTGTGTTTGGAAGATATCTGTGTGACAAAAATTGCTAATAATATACACATCAATGTACCACAAACAAATGTTGGATGATGATCCGTAATAATGTAAAGCATATGCGGTTCATACCTCTCACATCTACTAAAGGCTTTTGGCCACGCTAACCAGTGCGCAATGTGTTATGCTGGTAATCCTGACTTTTCAAGAACTGTTAGTTAATTTGCACTTTTGTTTTTCCTGACATTGTGTCACATTGCGGGTCCCTTTGTGCGCAGACCACCAATGTGGATGTTGTTATGCAAACCCTATAAGTAACCAATCTTTGCATGAACACGTGAATGCTTGGCTTGTGGGTGGTGACCCTAACTAATTCCAGACTTTTTACATAACCAAATGCCCAATGGATGATGTTGTCATTTCCCATTTGTGTGAGAGTGAACCCCGGCTCAGACAGACATGCCTGGCAGGGGAACTTAGCATTTAGCCGTCCTGGAAATCAGCTTCAATGTCTCGTGCTTGAAAAGCAATGTCCGGTAGCGGGATATGTTCATTTGAAAACAGCAAATTAGACTTCTGTTCATTCACACCTTTTTAAAGACTTTGGCCGTGCCAGTGTGGGAATTTAAATAAAAATGAGTATCCACCTGGTGACGATCAAACGGGAATCGGAGGAGTGGTGAGTTACACCTGAAGCTGCACACGTAAGCTGAGCTGTAGATCTCCAATACTTCAAAGATTAAAAAACATCAGTCTCTGTCCGGTCTGGTGAGCAGAGTCTGACAGATCCCAAGTCTTTTGTGATCAATTGTGTTGCCGCACAGGGATGGTCAAACATTTGTCATCCTCATTGTACGACGTCCTAGAGGTTCCATTGACCAGGACAGTACCTCATTCAGGCCTCGTTAAGCTGTCGTTTTTGTGGCCGCTGAGGTTCCTCTTTCTGTTCAGCAGTCTCTGTGTGCGAGTTACTTGGCGTTCTTTGATTCAAACATGTGGCTGTGCAGTGTGGTAAGGGATTGAACCTCTCTCCATTGTAGTGCACAATGGAGGCAAAACATAAAAGGCAAGATCTTTGGTTATTCCTTTAGTTTCTGGAGAGCCCTGTAGCCATTATATTTCTGGTCTGGAACAAAACGATTTTCTCCCACAGTTCGTTCACATGGCTGTTTGATTTGATCAAACCGACAATATGGCCATTATTTCAGTAAAAGCTTTTATTTCATAAATCATACCCAAGTGGTCATAAGTGTGATTAATATGGTCACGGTCTATATGAGGGATGCAGCTTGTTTAATAAAACGTGCGTACTGTATTTTTACAGGCGTCCCTACCATGCACTCCGCCCTGAGCTCGCAGTCCTCCATAGACAGCGAACTCAGCACATCCGATGACTCCATCTCTATGGGCTACAAGCTGCAGGATCTCACTGACGTCCAGATCATGGCTCGCCTACAGGAAGAGAGTGAGTAGAAGTGTTATTGTCTGTCCCAATTTCTACCCCGGCTGCATGTACGGGCCGTTTTTTTTCTTCTAACCTTGTTATTTGATTGCCAGGTCTGAGGCAGGATTTCGCCTCCAGCTCGGCGTCGGCGTCGCGCCGCAGCTCCGCGGCCTCGCTACAGTCCCTGCGCCGCGGCGGCACTTACAGCGATCAGGAATTCGACAGCTACAGCCTCGAGGACGAAGAGGACGAGTTTTGCTCCGTGCCCCAGCGACGACATCGCTACACCCCCTCACCGCTAGGCTCCCCCCGGTGCTTGTCCCCCTCCACCTCCAACCACGGCCAGGAATACGGCAACCGACTCGGGGCTCCACGCACAAGAGCGCCCAGGCGATCGCTCCAGGGCCCCAGTACCGAGCTCCTTAAGTTCGCCAAGAGTGAGGGTAAGCTGTGGCCGATAATTCAGTGCGCACAGTAGGCCCTCGATCAAGAAGATCCGAGTGACCGCCACGATTCTTGTTGGACCAAAGCTGTGATGGCACACATACCGTTGGTGCTAAACGTGTATTGTATGTGTGGTTCCAGAAGAGTTAAGGCACAGCATGCCTAATCTGGCCCCCCGCACCAGCCTACGTTCCCTGGAGGCAGTCAGAAACAGTCGCAGCATGGAGGCTAACCTCCAGAGCTCCGGCAACCGCATGTCCCACCTGACTCACTCCCCCTCCACAGGTAACCCTTACCTCTTCACCTGGTCCGCACCATTCCTCCAATTCCTTCCTTTGCCTTGCATATAACCCTTTGTAGTGTCACATCTATCCTAGCGCCTGACCGTCTCAAAGTTCTGTATGACCACAGTTTTGAGCAATATTCTGATTTGTCTTCAAGCCCATGCGTGACACCATAGCAAAGTATACAGATACAGTACCTGTCAAATGATTTAGGAATGTGCGTCTAAACTTTGGTTTCACGTTATTCCAGTAATCTGATGGTAGTAATCCCCCTAAAAAGGCAGCAGTGCACAAAGGATGTTAAGACGATTAGCGAACAAACCGATAAAATGCATGTTTCGAAATGTTGAGAAAATATGCTTTGAGTAAATACAAACAAAGAGAACTCTTATGAAAGTAAATGTATTCATTGTTTTATTTTTTAAGTGCGTTGATGAATTACTTTTTTTATCAACAGACGACATGAGAACATTAGATTGCACCAATATCAAACATGTACTCAAAGAAAATGTGCCCATCTTTCTCTATACTATACATACTTTATTCACACATCAGTAAATTCATAATAATAAATGTTAAACACACGCAACTTGAGTTTTGATGCACGTTAACACTCTAATTACATCGCAGAAAAAAATCTGTCAATCTGATTTAAATGGATACATTGATCAAACCTTGACTGTAACCCTAAGAAGAAAACAAACTCGTGTATATGGCCCACCAGTACTGAAGAGTTGCATAAACCAACTGTCTGGTGGGGATTAGATTATAACACTGTGCCTTCTTCCGTTTTCAGGTATCCCGTCCAGTCGGCTGCGCGGCAGTGGCCAATCACCGCTCTCCCTGCGGATCCCAGTAAAAGCAGTGACTCCAGTGGGCTCCATGGCAGCTAGTCGTCAGCCTTCTAGAGGTCTGCCTGTTGCCCAAGCGGGAGGGGGCCGCAGGGTCCAGTCTCCAGCCTCTGCCAATGGCGGGGTCTATACACCCGGGAGAGCCTCCACTGGGGCAGGAAGGGCTGCCGCGGGCCGAGGACAGGCATCGACCAGGAGTAAACTCTCGCAGCCCAGGTCCAGTGCTTAAATGAAAATCTTTGAATAAATTGAGGAAAATGTCCTTTTAAAAAAAAAAAAAAAAATCTTATTATCTATCTATCTATCTTATTGACAGGTCTTTGGGCTTGACTAAAATGTCAGATGAATCCTGGAGAGATGGCTGTTACTGAGCCTGGCCGGTAATGAAGGACGTTTCCTGCTGCAACTCTTCTCTTTACCTCTCGTAGAAGACTGTCCACAAATGTGTCGTACAACCTTTTCTGATAGGAGCACCTTCGCTGCACCGGATTCGTAGTTGACTTTTCCTCGCATGAAACCTTGTCAACCCACACAAAGAGGATGTGTAGGCAGACATAAAGGCACATGTGCACTCTCCACGTGGCATAGACCAACTCTGAGCTTCCAGAAGATTTGTTTGTGTCAATTTCACTTATTTTTCTATGGTAATTGTGAGAAACTGTGCTGGAATATTATGGGTTGTATCACTGTTTGCTTGATGTACTTGACATGAAGACAATTTCAAAAAATATACGGTTTGTTAATTTTCTGTGTGCATTCCTACTAGATTAAGGTGCTGAATGTTGCATGCTTGGTTTTGTTTTTTAATCGCTCATGTAAATGAGATTACAAATGTGTGAATTCATGAATGTTTGATTGGTTTACTGTGTAATTATCTTTGTCTCGTATTTGTGTTATGCTCTTTGCTTACAAAGCAATGCAACTCCTGTAAACCACACTGCCCTTATAAATAAGTCTAAAAAAGAAGGAAAATATGGTTTGTGCCAAGGCGCATTTCAGCTGCAAAACTTTCTACTAGAAGAATCTTGAGTCATCAATGGTACTGTTAGGCTACTGCATTTTGCAGGTATTTTTACTGCATATCAATATTTGTTTGGAGTGCTTTTGGATACCATTGCAATGAAGAAAATGTGTATGCACTAAGGCCTTGTTCCTTAAGACAGCTATGCACCCTCATGCAGAGCAACTCTGACAATTAGGAGCTGTAATGAAAATGAAGAATAAAGTTTACCCTAAAATTAAAATTGCAGCATTCGGGTTTTCTTCTTGTACAAAAAATGCCCGCCAAGTCATGGACCGTTCACTCTGCATGCTTTTTAATCCAACTGCAATCCATTTGCAAAACTAGTAGCAAGTACCATCAGCATCTCCCGGTTATTTCCTGTGTGCGTGACCAAACCCACCCACAGCTTGTGACAAAATGGCCCACAGGCCTCATCCGTGCATACAAAGTCTGAGTGCATTTTACAACCCCATTAAAAAAAATACATACAATTCTTGATGCGAAAATAATGTAATGACGTGTCGCAGAACTAGGCATCGATATGTTTCCATCACGAGAACGTCTGTTTTAATGTAACTCTGCTCTCTTATGCATGACGCAAATAGTAAGGGATCAGCGGTAAACGAGGCCACGCATTGTCTGCCCCCCGCCCTCCCTCTGCTTGTCAGGAAGCAAGCTGATTGGCCGAGGCCTAGCAAAGGGTGCCCGGGGATCCAAAACTGCAGGCCGCACTTAGCTTACCGTCAAAAATAAACCAAAACAATAACAGACAAAACTGAGAAGGGGGAGAAACACCGATAGAGTCAGAAGACGACGCTATCAGGTAAAATTAATTTGAGTCCGTTAGAAAGGCATATGGAATAAGACGCAAGGGCCCAGTCGGCCGTAGCGGGCCTCTTGCAGCCTTTTGGAAAAACAACATGGAAGATAATGCGACACAGGATGCTTCAACTAGCTTAGCCGGCTAGCTAGCTGACCGGACGGCCGTCGTCGTGCAGATCGAAACGGCTTGCAAAAAAATGATCGCATCGGGGATACTCTGTTGTTGCTTGTGCTAACGGCTTTACTGGTGTTGTGACGTTGTGTGAAGATGATACTGCAATGATTAAATACGCCAGGTTGTTACATGCCTGACATTAGCCATAATGCTAAACAAAATGGCGCTCGGGGGACCGTCGCTAGCTTGCTGGCTAGTTAGCTCTAGTGGGTGGAGGGCGGTAGCCGCAGTAGTATGCATTGCATAAGGTCTGCAGTACTTTCATTGGCGGCCATAAACTCTGAGGATGTGTAGCTTTATGCGGAGTTCAGAGTACAATGCTGTTTTTAAACGAAAAAAGTGGCTGCACCGTATTAGTTTAACCCCAATACGGTGGAAACGGTGGAAATCGGGAACCCGTATCATCACTGCAGATCTCTGCAGACGTTAACGTTACGCTGTTGGCTAATTTTGAACAGCCGTGTGACGGCAATACACTCCCTCTCATACAAACAGGCAGGACTCATCTTGTAGCAGCAATCAGAGCTGTTGCCAGTGAGCTCATCCTCTTGCACACTGAGCAGCACAGCCATTTGTCTCGGCTGGGCTGCAGCCATCAGGCTCAACCAGCTCCAGGTGTCCTATATGTCCTCAGGTTGAAGTTGCCTGTAGTACTCTAGATAAGCAATGGATGGAGCCAGCGGCCAACAACACTAGTGGTCCTATTCTAAGTGGCAACTTGTGGTCATTATTGTAACACGTGACAGTGCTGAGTGAAAGCTCCTGTATCTCTCTTCTAACATCAGCACAATGCTTATTGTACCAATTGTTTGTTTTTGTTTTTTTGACAGAGGGACTGATTGATTTACCTTGATGGGAGAAAGTACATCAAATACCCTATTGGTTGCATTCTAAGGGTATTGTCATCAAATGTGACGGTATGTATCCAGCTTTGTTTGATTTGGTGTTTTCACTTTCATTTTTAGCAACACACCTTTAACAAAGGCTAACACAGTGTACACGCCAAATGTCAGTATTTTTCCAGAGTACAGACATGGATCAAGGAGGAGGGGTGTTGGAGCTGCACACTCAGGAGCTGAAGATGCCCCACGCTATGATCATGCAAGACTTTGGTAGGTGGTGAAATAGGACACGTTGAACCAATAATCAACGCATGCAAGATGTATTCCAAGATACATTATCCCACCAGTAAAGGTTGAGCTAGATCCTACAGGCTATGAATATACAGACTGTAATTTCCTCAAAGCATAGGATTGCTGTATACCATAAGAGACCACTTCTCCACCTCATGTTGTTTGGGTCACATCTGCTAATGTTCTGGGTCTTTGTATGTCACATCACAGTGGCATACAAAGGTAAGTCTGACATTTTCACAGCATACCAACAACAAGAATACACCCTCACAAACATATGTGTAAAAACTAGTTTTTGCCTGTGCTCATCACAAAACTTGTTGTAATGCAGCCCTCTCCGTGTTTACAGTTGCAGGAATGGGGGGTCTTGCCCACATTGACGGCGAGCACATTGTGGTGTCTGTGCCCGAGGGGATGCTTCTTTCTGAAGTGTTGACGGACGAGGGCATCCTCTTGGATCATGAACTTGAGGTGGAATGCCTAGAGACTCAGGTGGTCCACGGCCTGGACACTGAGGTGGTCGAAGAACTGGAGACTGAGGTGGTGGAGAGCTTGCATGCAGACGTGGACTGCTTGGAGGCCGAAGTCGTGGACGGGCTACAGACGCACGTCGTGGAGCTGGAGGCTCAGGTAGTCGATGACCTAGACGATGGGGTGGAAGTGGTGGGTCTGGAGGCGCACGTGGTGGAGGGCCTGGAAACTGAGGTCGATGTTGAGGACATGGAGGCTCACATCGTTGAGGGCCTTGAGGAAGAGGTGGAAGTGGAGGGTTTGGACGCTGAGGTTGTCGAAGGCCTGGAGGTGGACGTCGAAAGCCTGCAGTCTCAGGGGGTCGAAGCCCATGAAATTACCACTGAAGACATGGTGTCCTCGGAACACAGTGTGATCATGCCTGACAATATTCTTGGCTCTGAGGTGGCAATAGAGGATGATCTGGACCCCCATCATCATCACCACCACCATCATCATCACCACCATCAGATCCTAACTTCGGACCTCATCCAAGTCTCGAACCACCACCACCACCACCACGACATGCCAGACCAGGTGTTTGTGGCAGAGCTACTGTCTGAGCACCAAGACAACACTCTGGACCACCAGCTTGTGTCTGAGGGCTTGATGGTGGCAGAGGCCAACTCCGAGAACATAATCCACCAGCAGCTGCCATCTGAGACTGTTACCCTGCAGACGGATGAGGATGATGATGCAAGAAGCAGCTCTGAGGATTACCTCATGATCTCCTGTAAGACAGCTTGCCATATGCCAACGTATATCCAGAAACGTTATTCTGATGCAATGCCACGTTTTTATTATTGATGAATTTCCATAACTATGGCGATTTGTCTTGCTTTAGTGGATGAAGTGGGAGAAAAGCTCGACATAGGAGACACTCCCCTGGAGATGAGCACGGAGGTGATGGAAGACAAGGAATGTAAAGAGGAGGTCATCAAAGTCTACATTTTCAAAGCTGAAGCGGATGACGATTTAGGCAAGTCACTTTAAGTTCAATCAATGAAATCGATACTTTGCTGTGAACCCATTTGGACCGGGTGTAACTAATGCATGGTTGTAGTGGTTTGGATTAAATTGTCATTTCTCTCCTTTTCCAGGTGGAACAGAGGTTATAACAGAGGATGATTACCAGAATGGTCACCCTGACCTGGAAGCTGCATCATCAGGCCGCCTGGGAGTTGGCCGTGACAAGATGGTCTACATGGCAGTCAAGAACCATACAAAAGAAGAGGAAGATGATGATGAGGATGACAGCGATGAGGATGACGATGATGACATCAGTATGTTCCTTAATGTCACATGTTTCAGTCCATTTAGTCTGACAGATTGTGTGGTTAGAAGTCAAAGTCAGCTTTATTGTCAATTCCTTGACGTCATGCAAACAGGCAAAGGGGTTGAAAAAACCTTTCTCTCAAGTTTAACATATAAAGTGAATACAGATAAATATGATAAAGTGCAGGTAGAAAAAAACAAACATTTAGACAAGATAGTATTTATGATCTGTATTTTAGCAGCAGTCAGACATCTAGTATATTTGGTGGAGGGATTCTTAGGAGAGAGAGTTCAGCTTGGTGGAGGCAGCTGTTTAAAAGTCTGGTGCGAGCACGGAGGTTCTTGTATCTTCTCCCACGGGCCAGCAGGCCGAAGACACTGTGTCCTGCAGAGAAGGAAGTGATCACCAATGATCCTTCCTGCTGTATTCACTATGCGCCTCCAGGGCGTTTCTGTTCCTGCAGCTTCCGCCACACACAGTGATCCAGCTTGTCAGGAGGCTCTCAATGGCCCCTCAGTAAAGTGCACATGAGTAATGATGAGTGTTTTTGCCTAAAAGTCAAGGAAAGCAGTTAGAGGAGAGCGCTAGAACAATAAAAGTCAAAGTTTGAAATACAAAGCATGTATATAATATGTAGCTGTCGTAATTTACATTTGAAAAGAAGTGTATGAATGTGTGAATGAAAACGCTCTGTCCAGGTGCCACCATTGATCAGGTGAAGAATGGTGCTGCCAGTCCGTTCCTTCAAATCCGAGAGGGGCTGAGTGCCAACCGTGTCCTCAAGCCCAAACTTAGGAAAAAGAAGAAAGGGGACACACGACAGTGTCAGACTGGTACGAACAGCAGACAATTCTTGGATGAGGAGATCGAAATGATTTGATCATTTATCAAAAACGTTGTTAACAGCATTTTCAACCATCTCTTCCAGCTGTTATAATTGGGCCAGACGGTCTGCCTTTGACCGTCTACCCCTGCCACCTATGTGGTAAGAAGTTCCGCTCAAGAGGCTTCCTCAAATGCCACATGAAGAACCACCCGGACCACCTGCTTAAAAAGAAGTACCAGTGTACCGACTGCGACTTCACCACCAACAAGAAGATCAGTTTCCACAACCACCTGGAAAGCCACAAGCTGCTGAGTCACAACAACGAGCGCTCTCCAGAATACAGCGAGTACGCCCGGCGCTACCACGAGTCCAGCCCCTTGGGCTCCGATAAGCTCATCGTCAAGGACCGGGAGCCCAAGCTGCATCCCTGCAAGTACTGCGATTACGAGACGGCGGAACAAGGCCTGCTCAACCGTCACCTGCTGGCTGTGCACAGCAA